CGTGTCTGCGCGTCTGCGTGTCTGCGTGTCTGCGTGTCTGCGTGTCTGCGTGTCTGCGCGTCTGCGCGTCTGCGTGTCTGCGCGTCTGCGCGTCTGCGCGTCTGCGCGTCTGCGCGTCTGCGTGTCTGCGTGTCTGCGTGTCTGCGTGTCTGCGCGCCTGCGCGCCTGCGCGTCTGCGCGTCTGCGCGTCTGCGCGTCTGCGCGTATGCGCGTATGCGCGTCTACGCGTCTACGCGTCTGCGCGTCTGCGTGTCTGCGTGTCTGCGTGTCTGCGTGTCTGCGTGGCTGCGTGGCTGCGTGGCTGCGTGTCTGCGTGGCTGCGTGTCTGCGTGTCTGCGTGTCTGCGTGTCTGCGTGTCTGCGTGTCTGCGTGTCTGCGTGTCTGCGTGTCTGCGTGTCTGCGTGTCTGCGCGTCTGCGTGTCTGCGCGTCTGCGCGTCTGCGCGCCTGCGCGTCTGCGCGTCTGCGCGTCTGCGCGTCTGCGCGTCTGCGCGTCTGCGCGTCTGCGCGTCTGCGCGTCTGCGCGTCTGCGCGTCTGCGCGTCTGCGCGTCTGCGCGTCTGCGCGTCTGCGCGTCTGCGCGTCTGCGCGTCTGCGCGTCTGCTCGTCTGCGCGTCTGCGCGTCTGCGCGTCTGCGCGTCTGCGCGTCTGCGCGTCTGCGCGTCTGCGCGTCTGCGCGTCTGCGCGTCTGCGCGTCTGCGCGTCTGCGAGTCTGCGTCTGCGCGTCTGCGCGTCTGCGCGTCTGCGCGTCTGCGCGTCTGCGCGTCTGCGCGTCTGCGCGTCTGCGCGTCTGCGCGTCTGCGCGTCTGCGCGTCTGCGCGTCTGCGCGTCTGCGCGTCTGCGCGTCTGCGCGTCTGCGTGTCTGCGCGTCTACGCGTCTGCGCGTCTGCGCGTCTGCGCGTCTGCGCGTCTCTGCGTCGCTGCGTCTGCGCGTCTCTGCGTCTGCGCGTCTCTGCGTCTGCGCGTCTCTGCGTGTGTGTGTGTCTCTGCGTCTGCGCGTCTCTGCGTCTGCGCGTCTTTGCGTCTGCGCGTCTCTGCGTCTGCGTCTGCGTCTGCGTGCGCGTGCGCGTGCGCGCCTGCGTCTGCGTCTGCGTCTGCGTCTGCGTGTGTGTCTGCGTCTGCGTCTGCGTCTGCGTGCGCGTGCGCGTGCGCGTGCGCATGCGCGTCCGCGTCACCGTCTGCGTCTGCGTCTGCGTCTGCGTCTGCGTCTGCATCCGCGTGCGTGCGCGTGCGCGTGCGCGTGCGCGTGCGCGCGCGTGTGCGCGTGCGCGCGTGTGCGCGTGTGCGCGTGTGCACGGTGTGCGCGTGTGCGCGTGTGCGCGTTTGCGCGTGTGCGCGTGTGCGCGTGTGCGCGTGTGCGCGTGTACGTGTGTGCGTGTGTGCGCGCGTGTGCGTGTGTGCGTGTGTGCGTGTGTGCATGTGTGCGCGTGTGTGCGTGTGTGCGTGTGTGCGTGTGTGCGTGTGTGCGTGTGTGGGTGTGTGGGTGTGTGGGTGTGTGCGTGTGTGGGTGTGTGCGTGTGTGCGTGTGTGTGGGTGTGTGTGTGTGTGTCCACCGATGTCGCGCAGCGTGCGTCGGCCCTCATTACGCTGCATGCGTCGTGTCGGAGGGCCTCGATGGGCAAGCACACGCTGGCGCTGACACGCGTCCTGAGGATCATCCCCAGACCTCTGGCGTCTCGATCTTTTCGAGAGGCGGGCCCCCGACCTCTCGACCACTTCCCCGGGACCAGCTCTTCATCCCGAGGCGCTGTTTGCCGACCCCGAGGCCCGGTGGAGGGACCCGAAGGCCTCGGGCGGGTGGTGATGGAGGGTGTCCTGGCGGGGGATGAAGGACAGGGCCCTCAAGGGGCCTTGTAGGGCCCCTCTGGGAGCCAGCAGCGAAAGGGGCCCCAGAGCGCCCCGTGAGGGTCCCAGGAGCCCGAAAACGACGACAAGCCTCCGCCCCGACGTTTTCGGGACGTCAGAGGTCTGCGTCGACCCTCGCGCCACGGTCGAGGAAGGCGCCCATGATCCAAGGTGCCCCCAGCTTTTCGCTCCATTTTGGAATCCATGGGATCAGGGGGCCCTCTGGACCTCGTGGGGGCTGGAGGCCGTGGGGGTCTCCCTGGAAGTCCTAGGGGCACCTTGGGCCAGGGGCACCCTGGGCCAGGGACGAGGATAAGTCTGTTCCAGAGCGTTTCGGAGCGCTCTCGGAGCGTTTCGGAGCGCTCGGAGAAGGCCGAAGCGCCCGATTCGGAGAGAAGAGGGGCCCGAAGGGCCAGTCGAGGGCCCCTTGGGGGCCCTTGCGGGCTCCAAAAGGGACCTTCAGGGACCCTGCAGGGCCTTTTCCGTACCCCCCTTCTAGGTCCTGCAGATAAACGAAGGATTGCAAAAAAACGAAGGATTGCAAAAAAACGAAGGACTGCAACAAAACGAAGGATTGCAAACAAAAAACGAAGGATTGTAAAAAAAACGAAGGATTGCAAAGGATTGCAAAAAGGATTGCAAAAGAAATCCCATGACCACCCGCCCAATTTTTCCTCACCCGAACTGGTCCTCGCCCTGGCTTCGCCCTTCGTCTTGCACCTTGGGCATGGGGTGCTTCCAGCAGCACCCGACGTCACGGCCGTGGGGGTCTCCCTGGAAATCCTTGCTCCTCGGGTGCTCCGGAGGCCGTGGGGGGGTCTCCCTGGAAATCCTTGCCCCTTAGCTGCTCTGGAGGCCGTGGGGGCCTCCCTGGAAATCCTTGCCCCTCCGGTGCTCCGGAGGCCGCGGGGGCCTCCCTGGAAATCCTGGGGGGCACCTCGTGCCCGGGGCACTCCTCTCGCGCCACCCGCTGGCCACGCGGCCCCCGGCCCAAAGCTCGATTTAAAATAATACAGAAAATGTGTATTGGGAGCCGTTTTTGTGGAGCCAATCACATTTTGCAAGGTCGGCCAGGATCTGCCAGATTTGCCCGAGTCGAGCGCGGCGTCGGCAAGCCCCCGCGCCGCCCCCCGAGGGGCGCAGCGCGCGGAGCTGGGCCGCGCCCTCGACGCGCTGGAGGGCGCGCCGCCCGGCGCGGCGCCCGGCGCCGCCCCCGCGGAGCGCGGCTGGGCGTCGCGCCAAGGGGGGGCGGGGCGATCTCAGGAGGGAAAGAAACACACATACACAATTAATCCTCGATTCCCCAGAAAATATGGGAAAATATGGGAAGTGGGGGGGAAGACAGAAACCCCGAAAATATGACAAAATATGGGGAATCCTTTTATTTGTGTGTATTTATTTGTGTGTCCCAGGGCCCCTTGACGATCAAGCGCCGCGCGCGCTCCGCTGCTCGCAGAGTGCCTACTCGCAAGGGGGGGGGGCGATCAATCGCCGAGCGCGCTCCGCGGCTCGCAGAGTGCCTGCTCTCGCAAGCGTCCGAAAATCCATGCGTCTGCCTTGGTGTCACGTGTCGTGCACCCCCTGCGGCGGATCCGGGCCACTTGCGAGCAGTGGAACGCCCCTGTCTAGTGTAGAGGGTGGGGGGCAGCGAGGGCTGCAGAAACGGAGCCTCCTGGGGCCTCCAGAGAGGCCCCCTCGGGCACACCAGGGGAGCCTGCAGGTCCCGAGAAGTGCACCTTCCTCCCCCTCCGATTATCGCACCCCGATTCTGACCGCTGCCCAACTCGGCGATCGGCGCTCGGCGCGTAGACCTCTGCTGCGGCCCCCCTCCTGCCAGGGCGCCAGGCGAGCGACGAAGGAAAACGGGGTCGTCTTCACACCTGAGGAAGAGGCACCAGTACCACTACCCTTGCCTCGTGTTCGCCTTTGGGGGGGGGGCCACCTGGGAGGCTCTCGTCGCCTCCGCTGCATTTGCTTCGAACTCCTGGTCAGAACGCACCCCAGGAGAGGTCTGGGGAATAGCGGTATCGGTACCTCTTGGTTTCCCCGCGTCTTCACCGACGTTGGCGCGCAAGTTGCCCGCGCAAGGTCACGCGTGCGCGCCCTCGCTTCCAGTGTGGCGTGCCGCGCCGGCGGCCCGCGTGAGCCACCGCGTGATAGGTCGCCACGTCGTCTTGCGTAAGACCCTTCTCTTTCCGTCGCTCAGGTGCAGCAGGGTACAGCCCTGGCGCTGACAGGAGGGTCGCCGTGGGTTCAAGAGGTGCTCGGGTTTCCGGGCCGTTCCTCGCATTTATGTCGTGAGACTTGTTTGTGGCCCAGGCTCTCCGTGGCCAGAGAAGCCCCTTCTGCGTTCTGTGTGGTAGCACGATGACTGCATAGATCAAAGCACGTGGCCTCGGAGGCCAGACTTGTTATATCCATCTCCCCGATCTGGCCCCTCATGGGGCCGGGGCGTGAGCAGTAGCATGGTCAGGGGCAACGTTAGGGGGATAGGTTCAGGGGGAATGCATCGACCGACCCCCGGCCACCCATTGATGGCCGACGGGAGCCCGATAGCGTACCCCGCCCAGGAACGTGCGGATTCGCTGTAGGGAGCCTATCGTCGATGTATCGCCGACTCCGGGTCAATACTTTGCCCCCTGAGCTCGTCCCATGGAGATTCTCGGCCCATGTTTCGGGCATCTGGCGGCCGTTCGGGACCATCCGGGAACATTGGTAACGCTCTCGGCGAGGCGCAGCCGCTGGAAGGTACCCCAGGGTTGAGAAGCCGCCGAGAACTTGCGAAAGCGTCCGCGCACATCGATGCTCGCACCTCGAGCCTCGTGCCCCCAAAACCTTTCCTCGAACGTCGCCCCTCGCACGGACAAAACTGCCGATCGCCTGCCAGGAGCCGCCCCTGCACATGCTCCGGGCCATCCTGCTCGCGGCGCAGCGGGCGCAGCAGCAACTGCGCGCGGACCCCTCGCTGTCGCGCGCGGGCGCCGCCGCGGCGGCGCCCGCGTCTGACGCCGCGGGCGAAGAGGATCGGGAGATGCCTTCAGATCAGGGCGTTGCAATGTTTCCCCTCCTCCTCCTCCTCTTCCTCCTCCTCCTCCTCATCATCATCATCATCATCAGCAGCAGCATCAGCAGCATCAGCAGCATCACCATCAGCAGCATCAGCATCGTCCTTCTCTTTCCCTATTCCTCTCCGTGCATGTCGTCAGGCTTTGGGCGCCGAGGGCCTCGCAGATCGATCCTGCTCGAGAAAGGCGGCAGGCTGGTGATGTCGGGGGCTCCAGTCGTGATTGCGAAGTCCTTCCGGCCAGTGCCGCCGACCCAGAAGGGAAACGACGACGACGACGACGACGACGACGATAACGACGACCACAACGGCGGCGGCGGCAACGACGACTACGCTGACGTAGGCCAGGGTCCTCGGGGATGGTTCCTGAGGTCTCTTCGGCAGTCTCTCGGGGGCCTCTGGGGAGGAATTCGGGGGGCCTCTGGGGCTCCCGTCGTGATTTGCGTGGCGGCGTTGCAGTTCTTGTCGCAGCGTCGGATCTCATTCAGGAGGGGAGAAAACACACAGACACAATTAATAGTCGACTCCCAGGAAAATATGGGAAAATATGGGAATTGGGCGGGAAGACAAAAACCAGGAAAATATCGGAAAATATGGGTAAACCTGTTCTTTGTGTGTATTTGTTTGTGTGTCCTGGGGCCCCTTCACTCATGGCATGGGCGCGAACCCCGCCGCCTCTGCCGGATCCGGGCCCGCGGGAGCGGCGTCTGCGCCCCGCGGGCCACGCCGGGAGGGCCGCCTGCGCCCAGGCCCGCATGGGCGTCCCGCAGCAGATCCGGGCTCGAGGCGTTCCTCTCCCTGCGCGGCCGCCGGGAGCCCGGGCCAGGCCCCGGGGCCTTGGCTCGGGGGCGGCAGAGAGGGGGGTGATGACTGGGGGGGGGGGATATCATGGCGGGGGCCATGAGATTTACCCAGATTTCATGGCGCCTCTTCTCGTTTCATTACGTCCCTGGCCCCCCCGCTGGGCCGCGCACATGCCGCCGGTCATGATTGGCACCCCCCCCCTCTTGGACACCCCCCTCTTGGCCGCTCCCGATCGGCATCGCTCGGACGTGTGCGCTTTTTATCGGCGGCGGGGATCGTTGAGGAGCATCCTGGATCCTCCTGCGAAGAAGCCGCGCACGACACCGAGAAAGAGCACAGGGAATGGGCGTCCGAGCGATGGCCCCGGGGCCGGCGTCCGCGCTCCCCTGGCCAAGCCAGGGGGGTCTGTGGTGCAGCGATCCCGCGGGCCCAGGCTGGGCCCGGCCGGGGATCGGCGAGGCTGGGCAGTTGCAGGCCTCTGACAAGAGGAGCCAGACCTCCTCGCGTCGTGAAAAAATCACGACGGGAGGATTTTCCTAATTTTCGGCCTCTGGGGGCCCTCACCGGGCCTCGGGAGCGTCAAAAAACGACTCAGGACGAAAAACCGGTCCCGGGGAATGGGTCCGGACCTCTGGGGGTCGCGTCATGAAAAAATCATGACGTCGGGGGTCTGGGGAGCGAGCACTCGTGCCACAGAGTCATCTGTCAATTCTACAGTCGGCCCAGATTAGTAGGTCGGCCCTGCCAGATCAAGGGTACCCCCTCGTGTCCTGTGTCTGGCGACCCATGCCTCCTGCATTTCTGTGGCAACGTGGCCCTCGGAAGGGTCTTGTGTCCTCTCGCGTGTCCTCTCCAATCAAGTCCGACTGTAGGCATCCCAGATGGGGTCCGAGTAGATGGGGTCGGAGGATCGCGCCGCATCGCCGATGCGTCGCCGATGCGGCTCGATGTGGAGCCCGAGTTGCTTCACGTCGACGTCGCCGATGCATCGCCCACGTCGACGGTGCTGCGCCGGTGCATCGCCGATGCGTCGCCGATGCGTCGCCGATGTATCGGCGATATGGCGCGGTCCCCAGACACCATCTATTCCGAGCCCATCCAGGAGGCCTCGGTCAATGCCCCCACCCTCCCAGTGCATTGATCGGCGTTGGCGATGGCTCTGAGGAGGGGCACGTGGACCGCAGGCTTCCCCGCGCGTGGCCCGTGTGCCGGAAGGCGAGCCCAGGAATCGAGCAGGGGATCGACTACGGAATTGATTAACCCCAAACTTGATGTGTTCGTCAAATCTGCGAAAAATTGGGGCGAAAGACCCAACCATATGCAGTTGTGAATATTGTTGTTGTGGGTGTCGCCTAGCGCGTGAGGGGTATGCCGAAATGGGCGGGGGGGGCGCATGTGATCGTCGGCACTGGAGCCTTCGGTGGAGCTCCGTATGTGGCCACGAAGCGCGTGAGGGGGGTGCCGAAATGGGCAGGGGGAGACGCATGTGATCACAGCCGATTGGGTTTTCGGTGGAGCTCCGTATGGGGCCACGAAGCGATGGGTGGCGCAAGACGCATGCGGTCACAGCCACCGGAGCCTTCAGTGGAGCTCCCTATGGCACCACGAAACACCGCACTGGGTGGCGCGGGACTCATGTAGTCACAGCCGCTGGGGCCTTCGATGGAGCTCCGTATGGGGCCACGAAACGCCGCACTGAGTGGCGCGGGACGCATTTGGTCACAGCCAATGCGGGGCGGGGCGCGAAATGTACGAAGGTTTGCTGCCTTGGGGCGCAAGCATTGTATAATTTACCAGGGCTTGTGGCTTCGGGAACGCGAACATTGCGTAATTCACAAAGGATATGGCCTCCACGTCGCGAATCTCAGGTAGTTCTTCGTGCCCCACGCCCCCCCCCAGAAATCAGGCAACGCGATTTGGGGGTGGTAAATTGCCGGTGTGGGGTTCCTCCCCTCGCGCGGACTTCAACAATTTACAGTAGGAAGCAGAAAGCAGGACTGTAACATCGGAGATTTGAAACTGGAACCGGCGCAAGGAGCAGCAGCCTTAGTCCTACAGCCTGGTGGCCCCACAAGGGGGCCGGCGGATATCTACTTTTGCAGATCTCACTAAGTTCCCCATTTGGGGAAGGGGGAAGAGGAGGAGGAGGAGGAGGAGGAAGAATTTTGTAATGGATCCCCCACTCGAACGACGAGCGCAAGCGGTGGCGTTCGGCAGCGTGCTATACACGCGCACGCCACGATCCCAAGACAGGGCCAGCGTCCATGAGTTGCTTTACTCCTCCTCCTCCTCCTCCTCCTCCTCCTCCTCCTCGTCCTCGTCCTCGTCCTCCCCCTCCTCCTCCACCTTCTCCTCCTCCTCCTCCTCCTCCTCCTCCTCGTTCCCCTCCTCCTCCTCCTCGTTCCCCTCCTCCTCCTCCTCCTCCTCCTCCTCCTCCTCCCCCTCCCCTCGTGCTCCTCCTCCTCCTCTTCCCCTCCTCCTCCTCCTCCTCCTCCTCCCCTCCTCCTCCTCCTCCTCTCCTCCCCTCCCCCTCCTCCGCCTCGTCATCCCCCTCCTCCCCTGCCTCCTCATGATCCCCTTCTCCTTCTCCTCCTCATCCGCCTCCTCATCATCCTCCTCCGCCTCCTCCTCTACCGCATTGCGGCGCCCCGGCAACAGGAGGGCGAGGCGGCCCCTGGCCCCGTGCCGCAGCTGGGCCTGGGCCGCTCGAGGGAGCTGGGCTCGCTGCTGGAGGCCCTGGGGAATGCTATTGCCAACCCTCTGGGCCACGACGAGCGTGCTGCCCCCCACTTCTCCTTCTCCTCCTCCTCCTTCTCCTCCTCCTCCTCCTCCTTCTCCTCCTCCTCCTTCTCCTCCTCCTCCTCCTCCTCCTCCTCCTCGCCTCCTCCTCCTCCTCCTCCTCCTCCTCCTCCTCCTCCTCCTCCTCCTCCTCCTCCTCCTCCTCCTCCTCCTCCTCCTCCTCCTCCTCCTCCTCCTCCTCGTCCTGCCCCAGAGGGGCACCCGCATAAGCGGGGTGGCGGGTCAAAGTGCACCCTTGTGCAGGCGGAGAGCACCGGGTCTTGGGGCCCCGAGGCCTCCCCCAGGGCGGTGCGGGAGCTCACTCCCCGCACTCGCCGCCTTGGGGCGGGACTGGCGGTCCGTCTTCCCCGTCGTTTGGTGTCGTTGTCGTTGTCGTCGCCGTCGTGTCGTGGGTCCCGGGGGTGCGGGCTCTTCTGTTTTGTTGCCCTTGGGCGTGCGGGGGGCCCTGCCCGTTCGGCAATCCCCCTGCGCGGGGGTGGTGCCGTTCGGTTGGGACCTCCCGCCTGCCTATGGGGCGATGTTTTTTTTTCCCGCCCCGCACGGGCGGGCTCGCCCGCCGCCCGCGCGAGAGGGGGGCGCCGCGGCCGCGCCGCGCGGCCGACGCGCGGATGGGCTCGATGCGCGGTGGAAAACCTCCCCGTCTTCCTCCTCCTCCTCCTCCTCCTCCTCCTCCTCCTCCTCCTCCTCCTCCTCCTCCTCCTCCTCCTCATCCTCCTCTCTCCTCTCCTCCTCCTCCTCCCCCTCCCCCTCCTCCTCCTCCTCCCCTCCTTCCTCCTCCTCCTCCTCCTCTCTCCTCCTCCTCCTCCTCCTCCTCCTCCTCCTCCTCCCCTCCTCCCCCTCCACCTACTACTCGTCCTCATCCTTCTCCTCCTCCTCCCCTCCTCCCCTCCTCCTCCTCCTCCTCCTCCTCCTCCACCTCCACCTCCTCCTCCTCCTCCTCCTCGTCCTCCTCCTCCATAGCTTGGCTGCGCGCCAGGAGGAGAGGGGATGGCTTCCGAGAAACACCCCTGCCTCTTAGAAGGCGCGCCGGCCTCGCCGATAGATGCGAGGCCAGCGCCTGCTAACGAGCAGCTTCTCTCTAAGAAGCTTCCCCCCGACCCCTACCCCCTGGCGCGATCCGCCGCCAAGTGACGCAACCATCCCCCGCCCCCCCCGACGCCCCAGTGCGGCCCTGGCACTGCCGCAGCGCGTCTGGCCCCGCACCGCAGTCTGTCACAGTGGGGGGCGGGGGCGTTGCGTCATGCCCCCCCGCCCGCTCGCGCCCCCCCCCCCCCCCCCCCCCCCCCCCCCCCCCCCCGCATGACGGCCGTTATCGCCGCGAGCAAACAGACGCGGAGGGAGGAAGAGCGGCAGAAACAAAGATTCCCGCAAGCCTGCAGGATGGCACCCGCGCCAAGACCGGCGGCTCCTTCCACCAATGGCCAACTAAATGATTCCAATTTCGGCGATGGTGGTAATAGTCGGGTTGCTTCGGTGGCCGAAATATTACCACCAGCATCCGAATATCAGATTGTATCCCTGGTGGAGACATCCCTCTGTGTTGTTTTTGGTGCCAGATTGCATACCTCCAAAATCTCTCGGAGCTCCGCGCGGGTTCATTGGGTCGGCGCCGGGCCATCGACCCCCAGTCGCCCTCTGAAGTCCCTTGGCAGCAACGTGCAGGCGTCGGGTTGCCATCGGACCGCTGGACACTCGAAGGCGAAGCTCGGATCGAGCCCAGCGGACTCCTTAGAGACACCGAAGATTGCACGAGCATGCTTCCCCGGAGGTCTGCGCAGATATCTTGGCTCAGAGGTCCGCGCAGATATCCCTGGCGCGTGGAGCGCGGCAGGAGCGGTGCCCGAGGCGCCCCGCCAGGGGCGCCTGGGCAGCCCGAGGCCGCTCCGAGACATCTGCGCGGATGTCCGAGACAGATGTCTGTGCAGCTCTCCGCGGACCCGCCGGAGGGGCTTGCCGCGCCACGCGTTCCAGGCGTGACCCGTCCCCCTGAGCGGCTTCGCTCCTCTCCCCCCCTCCTTCGGCCATTTCTTCGCGGCCACCAAACGGGGTGGTGACCATACCGTGTGGTGAGTCGGTGGGGATTCGGGGTCACCGCACGGTTTTGGGACTCCGGTCGTTTTCCGAGGATGTCTCGGGCGACTGAAGCCTCCAAGGTCCCAGTCCCAAAACCATGCGCTGACGGACCGTGCGGTGAGGTCTTGGAAAAGTTCGAGGTCACCGCACTGTTTGTCGCCGCGCCGTTTCGGGACTCCAAAGTTTCTTGTGTCCTTTCCCCTTCTCTCTGCATTGTGGCACAAGTAGCCACAAAAGGTACCCCCGTTTAGTTGGCTCTCCGCCAGCGCAGTTACTCTGCCTAGCCGCCGACGCCCCCCCCCCAAAAAAAAGAAGGATTAAATGATTAAATGTTTGCGCAGCTCTTATTGTGCCTCCAGGCCCTGCCGCTGGCAGCCCTGCAGCGGTCGCTGGAGCTCCACCTGGCGGGGCTGCCGGCCGCGCCCACGGAGGCGCCGCTCGCGCCCTTCGCGCAGCAGACGCTGCTGCTCGGCCGGGCCGTGCTCGCCGGCGCGCTGGAGAGCAGCATGGCCGCGGCAGCGGCCGCCGTAGGGACCTCGGAGGGGGCAAGAACTCCAGACCTCCTAGATTGGGGTCGGAGTAGATGGTGTCGGAGGATCCTGCCGCATCGCCGATGAATCGCCGATGCGGATCGATGTGGGGCCCGATTTGCTTCACGTCGACGTCGCCGATGCATCGCCGTATTCGACGATGCATCGCCGGTGCATCACCGATGCATCGCCGATGCATTGCCGGTGCATCGGCGACGCGGCGCGATCCCCCGACCTTCTCTACTCCGACCCCCTAGGAGGCCTCTAAGAACGTATGTGTTCGGTCGTGGGCCCAGCTTTCGCGCCGAAGACCGCGGGAAGCCGCCGAAGGCCGCAGGACACCCCCGAAGACCGCGGGGAGCCGCCGAAGACCGCCGGAGGCCGCCGAAGACCGCCGGATGACCGCCGAAACCCGCCCGAGGCAGACGGGCAGCAAGGGGTCCATAGTCGAGTTCGTAGAAACACAGCATCTCTTTCGCCTGCAAATGAGAGGCAGCCTGTTTGGGGTCAGGGGCAGGCAAGCTCAATTCCCTAGATTCCTAGATGTTCCTTGTTCGGGGCCGTGTGTCTAAATGCCGATGTCTCCCTTGGCTGTTCCGTGGTAGTTCATACGGGGATTCTTCGTTCAGGCTAGCATGTTGTTCAGATCTGTTTTTTCCCCTTCACTGATTCGGATCCCCAGATCTGACCCCCAGTAGCAGGCAAATGAGCATGAGCGTAAGCTTTCGGACGCTGAAACCCAGGCGTTACAATTTGTTCACACGTGGCGTTTTTTGTCCCCGTTTTTCAGGCCTTGGGGCCGTCACAGATCGATTCGGCTCGAAATATGTGGCAGAAAGATTAGGTCTACGGTTCCGATTGGGATTTTCCAGTATGTTGCAATTCTAGACGCTTCGAGTAACCCCACCGGCCTAGTGAGGTTCGCCCGCTGCTCGTCTCTTCCACCTTCTTGCTCTTTTTGTTTCGCCCTTCTCCCCCCGTGCGCTAATTTAGGCCGTTGGTTCGACGTTTCGTTCTGACGGCGCCCGGCGTCTTCTGGTGTGCTTGCGATCAACAAAAAAAACACTAGCCCATCCAGAAACGATGCCCAGAGGAATTGCCTCGATCAGGGAAGTGGGCAGCACACAGAGGAAGGGTCCCCCAGTTGAGGCTTCTTGGAGCATCTTAGGGGCCTCTTGGCGGTCCCGGGCGCCTCTAGAGCGCCTTGGGTGCCTCGGAGAGCTTCTTGGGGCCTCTTGGGGGTCTCTTGGGAGCATATTGGAGGCCTCTTGGGCGCGTGTTTCGGCCTCCTGGGGCCTCCTGGGCGCCTCTTTGGACTTTGGGAGCCTTGGGAGCGCTCTTGGAGCCCTCTTGGGCCATCTTGGAGCCATCTTGAGGCCTCGGATGGCCATCGGAAGCGAAAAGGCGAGAAAGCCAAAAACATTGATTGTTGCAAGGTTTGGGACGAATTTTGGCCTCTTCGGGGCTCTTTGGCCACTTGAAGCCGTCTTGGAGCGGTCTTGGGGCCTCTTGGAGCATCGTGGGAGCCATCTTGAGGCATCTTGGGATATCTTGAGCCATCTTGGAGGTCATCTTGGGGTCTCCCAGGCGCTCTTAGAGTTACCTTAAGCAGTGCCGCCGCCCCCCCCAGGAGGCCAAAATGTGGCCAAAACCTCAGTGAAATCAATGATTTTGGCATTGTCGCCGAGGCCTCTTGGAGCGTCTTGGGTGCCTCTGGGGGGCCTCTTGGGGCCTCTAGTAACCCATGATTTTGGCTTCCTCGCCGAGGCCGTTTTGGACGCCCCGACGACTCGCGGAACGCCCCGTCCAGGTCCAGGGGAGGGGGCCGGAGGAAGGGGTAAACCCCTTCCCCGAAGGGGGAGAAGGGGGTGGAAGAGGAAACACCCTAAACCACCTACGCCCTAGAGGGCAGGTGGGATTTTCTCGCGACGTCGGATCTCAAGGGAGGTCCGCGCGGAGTTTTCACATCCCCAAATCTCCGACGGCATGAGTTTTGGCGCGTTTCCCCGGCTTCGGTCCTCGTGGCACCCTCTATCGGGACCCAAGGCCACCAAAAACGGATCCAGGGCGCAGAATTACCCCCAGGCGGGGGTTCTGCTGCTGATTTAAGACAAGTCCTGTCGGATGATGCCTGGGTCGGCGCGCGCCACAGAGGGGGGGGGGTCCGGTGCCGACGCGGCAAGACCGCGCGGGCTCTCGGGTGCTTGCGCCTGTGTCGTCTGTCCCTGTTCTAGGATCGTGCAGCTGGTCTGCGTGCTCTTGGAGAAGGGGCTCGGGAAGAAGACCGAGGCGCCCGGGGCTGCCGAACCCGTCCCTGGCCCGCGGTGCCCCCCCCCAGCTCTTCGCGCCCCGCTTCCGTGAGAGCCCACGTGGGGGGGGCCTTCCGGTCCTCGTGCGGGGCTCTCCGGGTCGAGGCCTGCCCGGGCATGCCGGGCATCATGCGGTGGCGCCCAGGGGGCCCCGGGGGGGCACTTCCTCTGGCAGCGCCCGAAGGAGGGCGAGGATGATGGCGAAGGCGGTGACGCTCCCACGGAGTGGGCCGCGGGCACGGGCCAGGGCGAGGGCGACGGCGTGAGGGACATCACCGAGGAGATCACCGACGACGCCCAGCTCGAGGGCACGAGGAACGAGGAGCAGGAGAAGAAGGATGGGGGAACAAAAAGTGGCATAAACATAAAAACTCGGAGGTCCGCGCAGATTTCGCGGATCGGCGCTGGGACCCCCCAGCGGCGCCTCCGGCGCCGCCCTTGGCGCGCTCCGCGCGCCAGGGAGGGGGGTCCAGCGCCGATCAGAGAAATCCGCGCGCACCTCCGAGTTTTGTATGTTTTTTGTCACTTTTTGCTCCCCTAAAGGAGCCGCCAGAAGTGCCGGACGATGGGAAGGAGGACACGGCCCGTGAGGTGGGCTTCGACCTGGACACCGAGGCCCAGGCGGTCCCGCAGAAGGAGGATGGGCCCGAGGGAGAGTCCGACCAGAAGAGGGACGAGGACGAACTGGACCGCGAGCAGGGGGAGGTGGACCTGAACGACGGCGGCAAGCTGGACGAGAAGATGTGGAACGGGAAGGACGACGAGGCGGACGAGCAGAAGGACGGCCAGGAGGAGCAGAAGGGCCAGGAGGAGAACATCGAGGCCCACGGCGCCAAGGGGGAGGGCGAGGCAGACACCACCGCCAAGGACGAGGACGGGGGCGAGGACGCCGAAGAGGACCGCCAGCAGGGCAAGAAGGACAAGGAGGACCACCAGCAGGGCAAGCAGGAGGAGAAGGCCGAGGCGGAGGCCGAGGCGGAGGCCGAGAAGGCCGAGCCGGAGGGGGGGCAGAAGGACAAGGACTGGGACCCCGAGGGCGAGGGCCAGTTCGACGTCAACATGCAGCCGGAGGGCCCGGGCGCGGAGGACGACGCGGCGGAGGGCGCGGGCGAGGGCGACGCGGACTCGGACTTCATGCCGGACGGCGCCGAGGGCGAGGCGAGCGGCGCGGGCAGCGCGGACGAGGCCGCCGGCGAGGAGGGGGCGGAGGCCTCGGGCGCCGAGGGCGGCGAGCCCGAGGACGTGGCCGACCTGGACGGGGGCAAGGCGCCCTTCGAGCCGCCGGAGGACGAGGCCGCGGCCGAGGATCGCCGCGGCGGGGAGGGGTGCAGAGAGCCCCCCGCCCGGGGGGGGGGGGGGTCGCTCTCCCGCGGGCCTCGGCGGGCGGGGGCTCTGCGCGCTCGGCAGGCCGGCGTCGTGTGGGCGGGCGGCGACCCCGCCGCCCGCGTGCGGCGTGGAGCGCCGCCGGCGACCCAGAGTCGGTCGATGTGGAACGAGCTGGCGTTGCGGTTCGCGGCCGATCGTTCGAGGTCGAAGGATCTAAGTTCCTTCGGCCTCGAAGATCCTGGATCTTCGCGGTGTCAGGAGCCAACGCCGAGGTCGGCACGACGAGAGTCTGCCGAACAGCTGGCGCGAGGTTCAAGAACAATCCTTGCACTGGAGAGGTACCCGTACGTTCTTCGTGTGTGTGTGTGTGCGGTCTCCTCCTGGAGTGGCCTTCGCTTGGGGTATCTGCATGGGGCCTTGGGCTCTCGGCGAAAGGCCCATGTTCTTGACCAACGTTTTTCTGGCCTTGTTTCGACTGTGTACGCGGGTCCCCTGGAAGGAATGAATGCAAGCTGGGTGTCGAAGCACATGGGCAGTGATGCAACATTATGGGCGGTAGTGCCGTACAGCGGCTGTCCAGTTTCAGCTGGGATTGCCGCGAGGTGTCGAACGTCGTGCGCACTGCTCTCACATACCCTCTCAGCGTGCTTATGCAACGGGCCAACACATATCGATATTCCTCCCCCCCATACCCCCGACGTTTTTTTTCCTCGCGAAGGCGGACCCCGGGAGGTCTCGGCCCCGTCCGCCGCCCGGAGCCAGTTCTGCATCCTGAGTCGTTGTTTGACCGTCCTGCCCGGCGAGGGCCTCCAGATGCGGGCAACATCTTCGTCCGCATCCAGTGCGTTTGAGGCTTTCTCGGAAGGGGCGCCGCGAGGCCGAGGCGCACTGGATACGGATAGAATCGAGCCTCCATAGGGCCAGATGTTCGTTCATGTCCAGTACGCCCTCGGGTTCCTGGGGAAGGGAGCTCGAAGCTCCAAGCTGCAGTGGATCTGGATACAGGTCACGCCCGCACCGGAGGCCGAAAACCGGGCCGGGCGAAAGGGGCGGATTGGGAAAGGGGGGGTTACGAAATTTGCTGCATGCAGCTGGTTTCGGCCCCACCGAGGGGCCCATTCCTCGATACATGGGCGTCTCTGGCGCCGGGAGGCGCCGGGAAAATCAGCTACGTGAGCTGATTCTCAAGCCCCCCCTTTGCTATCCCCCCCTTTCGCCCGGCCCGAGAACACCGCCACATAAACCTCCCGCCACGGTTGTCTCACAACCGGAGGGGGTCCGGGCCCGGAGGTGCCGGGGCGTCGGCCCCCCCCGGCGGCGGGCACAGCGGGGGCCCATGCCAAGAAACACCGTGCTTGTCTCCAGGGTGCCCTGGGTTTCTCGGGGGCGGCCAAGAGGGGGGTGATGACTAGGGGGGGGGGGGGACATCATGGCGTGGGCCATGATATTTCCCCAGATTTCCTGGCGCCTCTTCTCATTTCGTTACGTCCCTGGCCCCCCCGCTGGGCCGCGCACATGCCGCCGGCCATGATTTGCACCCCCCCCTCTTGGACGCCCCCCTCTTTGCCGCCCCCGAGTTTCTTGGGTCTCGATGGTTTCTCGATGGAGAGCGTGACGTTCCCGCACCAAGAATCAGTGGACGTCCTTGGGTCTCAGGGTTGGGTTTCTTGTGTGGAAGGTTTCTTGTGGGCTGGCCTCCACGGTATGGATCAGCCATGGTGGACCTGAACGGTGTTTTGGCGATTTCGTGGACCGTTTTCGGTTCGGTGTCGTTCAGGAGGGAAAAAACACACACAGACACAATTAATCGTCGACTCCCAGGAAAATATGCAAACATATGGGAAGTGGGGGGGGAAGACAAAAACCCAGAAAATATGGGAAAATATGGGGCATATTTTTATTTGTGTGTTCTGGGGCCCCTTTAGTCGTTTTGCAGCAAGGGCGAATTGAAGGCAGAGCGAGGGAAGACGCAGGCAAAGCGAGCACGAAGGACGCCGTGCGAGTCGAGCCCTGGTAAGTATCCGCCCCCCGCCTCGCAGAGGAGCCGGGGGAGAACGACGTCGCGGCGTGCGCGGAGGGCGAGGAGGCGCAGCCGGCGGAGGCGGCGAAGGAGGAGGGCGCCCCGAACGCCGGGCAGGAGGAGAGGACCTCTGGGCAGGGGCGGGCGGAGGAGCCGCCGGGCGAAGCGCAGCAGGCGAGCCACGGAGCAAGCAGTGGCGAAGAGCGTCCTGGCTCGCCTAATTATAGCCCTACCAAGCAATGTTCTAAGAGCCTTTTGTGGTTTCCACGGGATGTTCTTAGAACATTTCTGGTTGAGATTGTCTTGTCTGAATTCATCGGGTTGACGTTCTAGTTCTTAGAACATTTTTGGGTTCTGCGAATACTTCGTGGTAGGACTACAGGGATGCTGGGACGGTCGGTCCCTGCTCAAACGGAAGAAATCGGGGGTGGATAGTATTCCTACGCTGACACGTCGATGAGTGGATTGGCCGTTCTCGCTTCGCGCGAGGGCGCCACGGCCGTTATGTGACCGTGTCCAGGTCCGTCGCTTTCGGTCCTATAGGCCGTTCTCACTCAAGGGAGGTCTACTACACCTTAGGCGATGCTTAAGAAAACCTAAGTTTTCGGCCAGAGGCTCGATTATTCTTAATGTTTCAATGTAAATCCTAAGATTGTAATAGAAATGTTGGGTTTTAGTTCAAGTTCTGAGACGATGAATTTCTTAACCCATGATTTCTTAAGCATTTCGCAGGGTGTACAGGGAGGTCTGTCCACCGCCGAAGAAAGACGGGGGCGCCTTCACCGGCACCGGCGCGAAGGCCGCCCGCATATCGGGTCGCGCGCCGGCGCCCGCGCGAGCCACCGCGTGAGGTCGCTATGTCTTCTCGCGTGCCTGGCATCGCTCGGACGTGTGCATTTTCCTTTCGGCGGGGACCATCAAGGAGCATCCTTGATCATTTGGCGGAAAAGCCACGCATGAAAACGAAAAAACACAGGGAATGGACGTCCGCGCGATGGCCAGCGTGCGGCCCGCTTCTTTTGGTCGCTTAGGTGGAGAAGGCGGACGGCCCGGACACCGGCGCGCAGGAGCAGGCGGCGGACGATAAGATGTTCGGCGGCACCCAGGGCGCCGCCGCGTCCTTCCAGTCGCAGCAGGCGGAGGACTCGAGGGAGGAAAGCCCAGGTCTCCGACGCTGTGTGCTGCTCGATCCGTTCGCCTCGACCGGAAGAGGTGCGCTCACGACCCGCGGAGCAAGAAGTGTTGCCCGGTCCGATCGTTTCTCGATGCTGGGCCCTCGGGCCGTGGGCGAGACACATATCTGTGGCATCCGTGGCCTGGCGGGCCGGGCCCCCGGGCCTCGACCCCGCGGACCCGGCGGCGCAATTTTTGCACGGGTGCCGTGCGGCTGAGTGTCGGCGGGATCGCGCCCCGGAGTCCAGGCCGACAGGCTGCGGATGCGGGTATGCACGGGCCTGTTCGCCGCTCGCGGCGGGGCCCGCCATCGGCCCCTTGGGGCCGCCAAAGCATGGGTCCGCGGCGCCAAACTGTCCAAGTGGGGGAGGGGTCCAGACTTCCAGGGCCAGGGATGGATCGGCGACATTCCGGGCCGGCGAGAATTAACATCGGCGGATGCCTGGAGACGAAAAAACGATCCCCCCCCCCTCTGGCTGGCGCTCGCTAGTCCGTAGACGGGTTCTATTAAAACGAGCGGTCCTGCTTGGTTCGATCCCTTTATCAGGTGCGTGTGCGAGAGGGCTTCGGTCGTCGGAGTTCTTACAACCAGGCTGTTTCATTCAGATTCTGGCAAGTCTACTTGCACGGCATTCCCCCCCCCCCTGTACTGGATGCTTGCTGATTCCTGTTGCTGGGTCTCTGCGCAGAGGAGGGCGGACAAATCGTGCCCCCCCTCCCGGTTGTTCTGTCTTCTGTCTTCGGTTGTTTCTGTCTGTTGTCCGCCGCCATCTCAAACAGCGCTGAGGCAAAAAGACGTGCGTGAAGTCCAGGTTTCCTTTCGGGCCTTGCGACGCCCCCCCCGCTCCGTGAAAGCAAACTTGTCGGAATTCACAGAAGCACGCCCTCTGATCGGGCCCGGGGACCATTCAGGGTGGACGGGCGGAAAAACTGCGCCCCGAGAAAGGGTCGGGTCGGGACCTCTAGGGGCCGCTGGCTGAAATGATCGGAGCGTCGGACATGTCCGTCAGGCGCAGGTGCTGATATGGAGGAGGGTCAGATGAGAGAACAGCGACGTCCCCCCCCTTTATCTATGCAAGCAGACTCGCCGGAATCTACCAAGAAAAACTGGTGGCGCGCATAGGCGGGTAGGGGGAGGGGGGAAGGCTTCCTGGAAGCACCCCTGCTGCTCAGAGGGCGCGGGCCTTGTCTACAGACGTAAGGCAGGCGCCCTCTAAGAAGCAGCCTCCTGCTAAGAAGCCTTCCCCCTCCCCCTAACCCCCTTTCTTGCGCCGCAAAAATACACTAACCCCCTTCCCCCTCCCCTCCCCCCTCCCCTCTCCCCCTCCCCCTCCCCCTCCCCCTACCCCCTTCCCCCTCCCCCTACCCCCTTCCCCCTAACCCCCTTCCCCCTTCCTGCTAAGAAGCCTTCCCCCTCCCCCTAACCCCCTTCCCCCTCCCCCTAACCCCCCCCTTCTGCGCGCCAGAAAAAAAAGCACGTCGCCTTGTACACTTCCGAGGGACCCCTCGCCGGAGCGATCTCCGGTGCGCGGCTCTCGGGGGGCGGGGGGGGCCACGGCCCAAGCTTCGGCTGGGCCTGTCCCCCTACAGGCGGACGTTGGGCGAAAGACCAAACATGGCCACAGAAATACCTGCGAATGCCCAAGAGAAGAAACAAAAACAAGCACACACAAAAACGAGCATGTGTGGACCATGTCGTCCTCCTCCTCCTCATCCTCCTCTCCTCTTCTCTCTCCTCCTCCCTCATCCTCCTCCCTCCTCCTCCTCCTCCCTCCCTCCTCCTCCTCCTCCTCCTCCCTCCTCCTCCTCTCCTCCTCCTCCTCCTCCTCCTCCTCCTCCTCCTCCTCCCCCCTCCTCCTCTGCCCCCGTGCGAGGACGGCGCCGGCCAGGAGCCCGAGCAGCGCGAGCAGGCCGGGGCGGCGTCCGCGCCGGACGCCGGCGGCTCCTCGGCACAGGAGCGCCCCTCCGAGAGGGCTCAGCAGGCTGGCGCGGGCGCCGCCGCCGCCGATGCCGCCGCCGTCGTCGTGGCCTTCGCCGCCGCCGCCGCCGTGCCGCCGCCGCCGTGCCGCCGCGCCGTGCCGCCGCCGCGCCGCCGATGCCCGCCGCGGCCGCCGCCGCGGCCGCCGATGCCGCCGCCGTCGTCGTGGCCTTCGCCGCCGCCGCCGCCGTGCCGCCGCCGCCGTGTCGCCGCCGCCGTGCCGCCGCCGCCGCCGCCGCTGTCGCCGTCGCCGTCTTCGTCGTCGCCAGGCCAGCGCTGGCGCGAAGGACAGGGCGCAGGCACAGCCCTCCGCGCAGGAGGGCCCGGAGAGCTCCGAGCGCCGGCTGCAGAAGGTGGACATTCTGCGGGACGCTGGCGAGGGCGACGCTGCCGGGGAGCGGAAGGATCCTGGCCTCCCACATTGGCGACGGAAGGAAAAGGTATAGATTGCGCGGACATTCGCGCGCAAGCTTCCCGCGTGAGGCCGCACACAAGCGCCCTCTTCCCCACGCGGTGTGCCACGCTGGCGGCACACGCAGGCCGCGGCGTAAGATCTTTCTGACATCTCGCGTAAGGCACGTTTGCTTTTGTTTCTCAAATGAGGCCAGAGGAGATCCACCTCCGTCTAAGAGGTCCACGGTGCCCCGCGTCAGCGGGCTGGGGAGAGGGGACGTCTCGAGCGGGGAGAGAAGGGCCACCCTGGGCTTCTCGCGGTGGTGGTGGTGGTGGTGGTGGTGTGGCCTTCTCCTGTTCATAAGTGGTCCGAGGATCGCGCCGTATCGCCGATGCATCGCCGATGCGGCGCGATCTGGAGTCCCAGTGCCTCGGTCACAGCGTCACCGTTGCATCGGCTGCGCAGCTCGGCCACACCGTGCGGATCCTGCGATCGGAGGCTGACCAGGGGAGACAGCGGCGCAGCCCCTGCAACTTCTCAGGGGCGTGCGGAGGGGAGACTCGCAAGGGCCGCGAGAACCTTGCGCGGATCCCGACGGGCCTGCACCCCAGTCAGCGCGGGTCTCGGTGGCCGCTGCCGCCCGCGACGAGGACGGGGCGAGGCGCGAGGAGGCCCTCCCCCCCCCTCCCCCTGTCGAGCTGTGGAGTGCCTCGGCGGCTTCCCGGGCCGGCCCTCGCCAACGTGTCAGGAAATTCAAAGCGGAGACTCGCGTCGGTCCCGCAGCTGCGCACGTCGATCCCCAGACCCCTCACAGGGGTCCATCCCGAGGCGCGGGCCCCCCCCAAGGGGACGAGCAGACTCCGAGAGGGGGGGCCGCCGTCGTCTCGACGGGCCCCCTCCCCCTCCGGTCCGACCCCCGTCTGCGGGTCGGACGAGGGGGGGGGAATCGGGCCGGGCAAAAGGGGGGGATTGGGAAAGGGGGGGTTACGAAATCCCACCAGTCCTCTGGGCGTCGGTGGTTTAGAGCGTTTCCTCTTCCACCCCTCCTTCTTCCCCTTCGGGGAGGGGTTTAACCTTCCCCCTACCCCCTCCCCACTGACCTGGACAGAGGGGGCCGCGATCGGTCAGAGCGTCCAAGATCGACCCCTGGGAGGGCTAAAATTCGACACCCCTCACGAGGATCGTGGCTCCTGAGGGGGTGGCTGAAATTTGGGAACCCCCCTTCGTTGATCGATCTCCTCCAAGATGGCTCCGAGAGACGTCTTCTTGGACCCCCTCTTGGGCCCTGCGCGCGGGCGGGCGGAGCGCCGCCCGCCCGCCCGCAAGGCCCAAGAGCCCACCAAAACGTTCGAAGACACTTCCAATACGCCACCAGGGAGGAGGAAGAGGCGGAGGAGGAGGAGGAGGAGGAGGAGGAGGAGGAGAGGGAGGAGGAGGAGGAGGAGGAGGAGGAAGGCGGAGAGGAGAGGAGGAGAAGAGGAGAAGGAGGAGGGGAGGAACAGCTGCCGATCATCGGCGCTCTTCGTTCGAGTGTCTGGTGTAGGATGGGCTGGTGGGGATACGCGAAGCGTCAAGAATTTGCTGCATGCAGCTGGTTTCGGCCCCACCGAGGGGCCCATTCCTCGATACATCGTCGCCTCCGGCGCCGGGAGGCGCCGGGAAAATCAGCTACGTGAGCTTATTCTCAAACCCCCCCTTTGCTATCCCCCCCTTTCGCCCGACCCGATCTTCGGGTCGGACGAGGAAGGTACTGCGGCGATCCGAGAAATCCGCGCGGAGTTTCGACAGTTTGCGTTGATGCGTTTTTGTGTTCTCTACTCTTCGTCCGATCCCACAGCTACTCTGGCCCTGTGCGCCGAAAAACGGGTTGGACTGTGCGGACATTCGCGCGTCAGTGGCCCGCGTGAGGCCGCGCATGAGCGCCCTCCTCCTCTAATTTCGCGGTGAGGCGACGCCGGCGGCGCGCGCATACGCCGCGGCGCGAGGTCGCAACATGCTTTCTCGCGTGAGGCCCATTTGTTCTCGTCGCTATCCTCCCCGTCGCTATCCTCCCCCTCCTCCTCCTGCTCCTCCTCCACCTCCTCCTCATCATCATCGTCCTCCTCCTGAGTCCTCCTAATCCTCCTCTTCCTCCTCCTCCTCCACCTCCTCCTCATCCTCCTCCTCCTCCTGAGTCCTCCTACTCCTCCTGCTCCTCCGCCTCCTCCTCCTCCTCCTCCTTCTCCTCCTCCTGAGTCCTCCTGACTCCTCGCGAGGAGGAGGGCGCGGAGAAAGGGCTGCACATGGCGGACGCGCGCAGCGGCGCGGACGCGCTGGGCGAGTGCAGGGACTTCACGGACGCCAAGAACCAGGCGTTGGGCGCGGCCGAGCAGGAGGGCGAGCAGGAGGGGCCGGCGGCCGCCGTGGACGAGGAGCAGGAGCCTCGACTACACGTAAGAGTGACCCTTCGCCGGAGTGACCTCTGGAGCGGGCCCATTGGGGAGATGGATAGACCTCCTACCCTGACACGTCGATTAAGGAATTTGCCCTTTTCGGTTCGCGAGAGGGCGTCGCGGCCGTCATTTGTGCGGGTCCAAGTCCGTCGGTTTCGGTCCCAGGCCGTTTTCACTAAGGGGAGTTTTACTAAAGGGAGGTTTGTCCACCGCCGACCATTGGGGTCCCCCGATCGCCGAACTCGACGCGATAGTAGCGTTCTGCGCGCCTGTGTTTTGTACCCCCCCGCGGCGCCCAAAAGCCGCGCAGCAAAGGTCACTCCTACCCAGGGTCACGCTTGCGTGTAGTCGAGAGCCTCGAGACGTGGGGTCGATGCAAACGGGGGTCAGCCAGAGCGCTGGATCTTGCAGGATCCTGCGGGGACAGGGTCGCATTGGCCCGTGCTTGGGTGCAGGATCCTGCAGGATCTTGCGGGAATTCTTTCGGAATGACCCGGGCTTGGGTGCAGGATCTTGCAGGATCTGCAGGATTCTGCAAGGCCTGACTGACCCGGGTCTGGATTGACCCGGGTCAGAAGATCCCCGATAGGAGCAGGAGCCAGGGGCAGCAGCATCAGAAAAGGAGGGGAATAGACCGATACCACAGCCCCCGCGGCTGCGGACAAGATTGAGGGCGGGCGCGGGCTGGGTTGCGGGGTGGGTCGCGAGTGCGTGGGGTGCGAGCCCCAAGGGGTGCATTTCAATTGAAAAACGCAAGATGCACCAGGCAAGGGGAATCCAATCATTATGCCAAGAGAAAGAGGGCGGAATTGAGACGCAGGTTCTTCTTGCGGCCGCATTGAGCCGATGTTCTTGTAAACCGGGGGCCAACAACACAGTTTGAGGACCAATACTTTCACTAATAAATATAGGGTGCGATGCCCGTGAGGAGCTTCCAGACTGCTCAACCCGTATATGCCACATGTTTGATGCCCGGGGGTAAAGCTTGTTTAGTTGACACGTGTAATGGCGCGGCCCCTAAAACAGGGGAAGAGAGGACAGATGGAAGGGGAAGGGAGACGGATGGAGCGCGAGAGAGATTAGCACGAGGGGGGCTAGGAGCAGGAAACACGTGGCAGAACCAGACGGGCTGATCGGCGGGTAAACCCTAACGGGCGGGTCGGGAAGGCGGGCCAAGGAGCGGGTTGGGTCGAGCGGGCAGGTCGCTGAATCGTGAGTCCTGAAAGGATCGCGAGGAGGCCTCTAGCGATGACGCGATTCCCAAGTAAACCGTGAGAAAAGCGAGAACAAGAACGCGATTCCTGAGCGTCGAGGGCGTGGCGTCTGAAATTGAGTAATTGAGTGATTCCCGCGCGAGAGCGCGAAATGGATATCAACTGGGCAGAAGTATCAGGCGGGCGCCGCTGCTGTTCTAAACCGAGGGCCAACAACATAGTTTGAGGACCAAGCCTTTCCATTATCAAGAACAGGTGCGTGCCCCTGGAAAAGCATTTCAATTGAAAAGCACAAGGCGCACCAAAGGGGGAGATCAACAATAATTGTTCTGTAGAAGTGAGAATGTAGCAGCCATCAGTTTTGTATGTTTCGCTCTTATCTGCTCGCGTGTCTTTCAACATGTAGATCCCAATCGATCGATACCCGCCCTCCTCGTTGTCGATCGTGCCCTCCTCGGGGGTATGTAATCGTCCCGTTCTGCCACGCGCTGTGGGCGCAGCCCCCAGAACAGGGGGAGGGAGGAGGGAGGGAAGGGACAAGGAGGAGAAACAAGGATGGAGCACGAGAGATAGGAGGGCGAGGGCGGGAGCACGAAAACAGGCGACAGAACCCAGCCGGGCCGGTCGGGCGGGCCGGCCCTCACGGGCGGCTCTGGCGGGCGGGCCCGGACGGCCACAGGTCGGGCGGGCGGGTCGCGGAAGCGTCAACCCGACATGGATCGCAAGGAAGTTTCGAGCGATGGCGCGATCCCCAAGTAGATCGCAAGGAAATCCAAAGCGATAGCGTGATTCCTGAGTCCAGGGGGCACGGCGCCGCAATCAGTTCAAGCGAGGTACCACGCGAGAGCGCGACCCCCGCTGAAGCGTGAGTCCGGCATGAATCGCGAAGGAGTCTCGAGCTACAGCGCGATTCCCAAGGAAATCGTGGAAGTCCGGAGCGAGAGCGTACTTCTTGAGTGTCGGGGGCGCGGCGGGCGACTGCACAAGTTGCGGGGCGGTCCCACGCGGTAGCGCAATGGCGCTGAAATTGTGAGGAAGTATCCAGCGGGAGCTGCTGTTGTAGTAAACTGGGGGCTGGGGGCCTAGGTTTGAGACCGAAGGTTTATGTAAAACATTGGGCGTGAGCGGAAAGGGCGCTTCAGCTGAAAGAATAGAGAGTGCACCAGAAGGAGTGGATCAACAATAACTATTATGTGGGCATGAGAATTCAGAAAAAATCCTTCCCGCAGAAGCCCACTTGAGGCACGCACCCAAGGCATGTGTCCGACCACTCTGCCCCCTCACTCTGACCATTGCCAGCCCTGGAGAGCCCCCGTCGCCACGGCGGGATTCTCCATGAGCTTCTGGTCAGGGGGCGCCCAGAGCGAGGTCCGGAGAGTGGCGGTGCCAGTACGTTTGTCGGGGGTGGACAGACCTCCTACCCTGACACGTCGATTCATGAATTGGCCCTTTTCGGTTCGCGAGAGGGCGTATCGGCCCTCATTTTTGCGGGTCCAGGTCCGTCGGTTTCAATCCCAGGCCGTTTTCATCAAGGGGAGGTCTACTGAAGGGAGGTTTGTCCACCGCCGAGTTTGCGCGCCCCCACGGCAGGGGGAGCGGGCGGGGACTGGCCAGGGGGGGAGGGTCATGGGCCCCCGACGCCAGAGTTCCGAAGACGTGTGCTCTGTTGTTTTTGCTGTCGCTCCTGGAGTTGTTCCTCTCGTCTCGCGCGGCGGTCCGGGCCGGTGGCCGGGCCCGAGCGGACCGTCAAACGCTGGCCTGGGACGGACAACAACCGCTCCCGAGTCCCGCCGTGCTGGCGCCGCGCACCGGAAGCACCAGATGGGCCGGTGTCTGCGATCGCTCACTCACCGCCAATCGTCAGAGCCCCGAATCATCAGGGGTAACTCGGGTCAGGGATAACTCGGGTTCGTTTTTCGGGAACCCAAACCCGAGTTACCCCGGGCCCGAGTTACCCCGGATAATTCGGGCGTCCAGAGCCCCAGATCATCAGGGATAACTCGGGTCAGGGCTAACTCGGGTTCGTTTTTCGGGAACCCAAACCCGTGTTACCCCGGACCCGAGTTACCCCGGATAACTCGGGCGTCCAAAATCGGGGCCTGGGCCCCCCACCCCTCCCAGGAGCGCAAAGGTCTCGCTGACGAGGGCCTGGCGCCGATCTGTCAGCGGCCCGTCGCCGTTTCCGGGCCACTCCCCCCCCGAGCCAGTTTCGCCCCCGTTCGTCAAACTTCAGGAGGGGAAAAAAAACACACACACAGACACAATCAATCGTCGATCCCCTTGGAAACTATTGGAAAATATGGGTTAAGTGAGGGGGAAGACAAAGACCCAGAAAATACGAGAAAATGTGGGGAACATGTTTATGTGTGTGTGTTTATTTATTGGTGTGTCCCAGGGCCCCTCCAAAACTTGCGGAGGTCCGCGAGGTCCTCCCTGTGTCGGCGCTCGGCCCCGCGGGCGGCGCCTCCGGCGGCGCGGCACCTGGGCCGCTCAGAGCGCGCCCGAGGGCAGGAGGGTCCCGCGCCGATCCGGGAGGTCCGCGCAGAACTCGGGGAGCGCACCCGTCGGTCGTGGAGAGTACGGTAGGTTTGCGTCGTGTCGACCGGCGGCGACCCCGCCGCCGACGTTCAAGGTTGAGCGCCGCCGGCGACCCAGAATCGGTCGATGTTGAACGATCGGACGTTGCGGCAGCGGCCGATCGTTCAAGGTTGAACGAGCCAGCGCGGTGTCGGGAACCAACGCTGGGGTCGACACGGCACGGACCTGCAGTAGGTCCTTTGGCATTCCCGGAGCCCCATCGATCTTGGGCGCCCTCCTCCTTTCGGGGGTGGACAGACCTCCTGCCCCGACACGTCGATGGAGGCATTGGCCGTTTTCGGTTCGCGAGAGGGCGTCGCGGCCGTCCTTTCTGCGGGTCCAGGTCCGTCGGTTTCGGTCCCAGGCCGTTTTCACTAAGGGGAGGTCTACTACAGGGAGGTCTGTCCACCGCCGATCCTCCTTCAGGGATCGAGCGGTCTCAGACGTGCTCCTTCCTCCTCAGGGGGGGCAGGCGGCAGCCCAGTCTGCTTCCAACACGCCCCCTCCCACTTCAGGCCTCTGCCCTCCTCTTCCGGCCGACGTGCACGATGATGCAGACTGATGGGTTTGTTTTCCACCACCACCACCATAGGTTGGAGGGGGAGGGGGTCCTCCTCCTCCTCCTGCTCGTCCTCTTCGTCTTCCTCCTCCTCCTCCTCCTCCTCCTCCTCGTCCTCCTCCTCCCCCCCCTCTAACTTATGGTGGTGGTGGTGGAAAACATGCCCATCAGCAGACGCCTCCCCAGCTGCGCACCAGGAGGCGGAGAAGCCCGCCGGCCAGCAGCAGGCCCTGTCCTCCAGCCGCGGCGGCTCAAAGGGACGAGGCCCGGAGTCCAGCAGTGGCGAAGCGTCCTGGCTCGCCTCTACAGCTCGGGGGCGGAAGAGAGCGGGGGGTGATGACTAGGGGGGGGGGGGGGGGATATCATGGCGTGGGACATGATATTTCCCCCGATTTCATGGCGCCTCTTCTTATTTCATGACGTCCCTGGCCCCCCCGCTGGGCCGCGCACCTGCCGCCGGTCATGATTTGCACCCCCTCCTCTTGGACACCCCCCTCTTGGCCGCTCCCGAAAAGCAGCCCTACCAAACAATGTTCTAAGAACCCTTTTGTGGTTTCCGCGGAATGGTCTTAGAGCATTTCTGGCGGAGTCTGTCTTGTTTGAACACATCGGGTTCATGTTCCAAGAACAGTGTTTTGTTCTTAGAACATTTTGGGGTTCTACGAACATTTCGTGGTAGGACTATAGGAATGCGGGGACGGTCGGTCCCTGCCCAACGGAGGGGTGGGGCCCGGAGCGGGGAGGCCGGAGCCCTTGGCGCCCTGCCGCGCGCCGCCCGCCGCCGAGGCCGGGGTGGCGTGCGGCCTCGCGATGGCCACGGCCACGATGCAGTACACAGCGGCGATGTGATCGGGAGATCGCAGACATGCAGAGCCCCGAATCATCAGGGGTACCTCGGGTCAGGGCTAACTCGGGCTCGTTTTTCGGGAATCCGAACCCGAGCTGCCCCGGGCCCGAGTTACCCAGGATAATTCGGGCGTCCAGAGCCCCGAATCCTCAGGGGTATTTCGGGTCAGGGCTAACTCGGGTTCGTTTTTCGGGAATCCGAACCCGAGCTGCCCCGGGCCCGAGTTACCCTGGATAATTCAGGCGTCCAGAGCCCCGAATCCTCAGGGGTAACTCGGGTCAGGGCTAACTCGGGTTCGTTTTTCGGGAATCCGAACCCGAGTTACCCCGGGCCCGAGTTACCCCGGATAATTCGGGCGCCCAAAACATGGATCAAGGGGGGGCGTGGATTAGCGACGGGTCCCGTTTCCATGGGAAGTCGTGGACTTCCGCCGCCGAGCGACGGCGGCAGCGGCCGCACTCTGGGGAGGGCCAAGTCCACGGATCGCTAATCCATGTCTGCGCGCCCCCGGTACTGGTACTTACCCGTGTGGTTCGAGTGTGTTCGCGTCGCGGGAGCGTCTTGGCAGGGCCCGGGTGTGCTGCACGCTCCGGGTTTCTGACTGCCTGTCTGTCGTCGGGCCGCGCCGAGTTTGAACAAGAGGTCTTTTTGGTCTCTGGTGGCTGGGGCGCGGGCTTCGTTCGTGTCTGCTGCTGCGACGGCCCCACCCCCACTCCCTGACTGCTCCCTCCGCAGCGGTTCCAGCCCTCGGTGCCACCAGCCTCCCCGTAATCAAGCACGAGAGGCCTCGAGCAGTGGTGGTTACGCTTGGGGTCCCCCTCCAATCCTCAGGGCCCCGTCCCTCTCCCAGCCCCCCCGACGCCAGTTTTTTTTTCTCCACAACGCCGACGCCTGGCGGCCTCGACCCGCTCCCTGGGGCCAGCTCCTCCTCCTCCTCCTCCTCCTCCTCCTCCCTCCTCCTCCCCCTCCTCCTCCTCCTCCTCCTCCTCCTCCTCCTCCTCCTCCTCCTCCTCCTCCTCCTCCTCCTCCTCCTCCTCCTCCTCCTCCTGCTCCCTCACGCTGCTTCCGTGCCACGGCGCGAGGAGGTCTCCCACCACCCACCAAGACAACCCCAGCCCCACCCGAAGGCCCCAGTCTGCCCCCTGCAGTCCCAGCGGCGTGGGCGTCGGGGAGCATGGAAAAGACATGCGCTGAACACATCCCCCCCCCGAACCCGAAGTTTGGCTCTGCGGGTTGGCTTGGGGTGGTCTGGTAGGTAGCTTAGCGAGCCTCTGGGCCCACCTTTGAGCCGCCGGCCCGTGGCCGTGGAGCAGCCGCCGGACCAGCTCGCTCCGGAACTGCGGCCGCAGCCCGGCGACGAGCGGGGCGAGGCGCCCGCGGGCGCGGAGGCCCCGCGGGGCAGCGCCAGCTTGGTCCACGCCTCCGCCGCCGCGCTGCGCGCCGTCGGGGATGAGCGCCCCGAGGATCCAGACCCCCCTGGAGCAGTGGAAAAAAGCATGGCGGGAGGTGTTCTTTATCTTTAGCCTCGGGGGGCCCTTTAACTGGGCCTCGGGGCCGTCCAGAGACGACTCGGGATGAGCAGTTGGTCCGGGGGAAGGGGTCGAGACCTCCAGAGGTCGACGCCATGAAAAATTCACGACGTCGGGGGATCTGGGGATGTCGAAAGGCAAGCCCAGATCACCGACGACGCGGTTCCCCGTGTCGTTATAGGCCTCCTCTCGGGGGAGCAGGAGAGGTCATGAGAGTACGCCCTAAGATTTCCAGGACTTCCCATATTCCTCGATGTTCCACAGGGGCTGCAGAAAAAGGGCTGCTAGACACCCTGAAAATTCTGAAGCGCATCCTGAGCCATTCCTATCATAACATTTTTCCGTCCTACAGTCGGGGCCCTGAAGAAGGAACCCTTTTGGTTGGGGAGGGGCTCCGCGTTCCTTAAGTGTTTCACAGCTTGCCTCAGGTTTTCCTTATGTCTTCGATCGGAAATCGATGTTTAACTTATGGAAAAAAGGGGCCTCTTTCCTCATTTAGGGTTCCTTAGGTCAACGTCCCGACTGTATCCCAGGTGGGATCGGACCAGACGGAATCGAATCTCCAACGATACGGTTCTCTGTCTGCGCTCCGCGCGCCAGGGAGTTATCAGGAGGGGAAAAACACACAGACATAATTAATCGTCGATTCCCCAGAAAATGTAGGAAAATATGGGAAGTGGGGGGGGAGACAAAAATCCAGAAAATATATGAAAATATCGGGAAAATGTTGAATTGTGTGTATTTATTTGTGTGTCCTGGGGCCCCTTCAAGTTAGGTCAAGCGCAGATCCAAGACATCCGCGCGGAGCGTCAAAATAGTATGATCAGGCAGTTTTGCCTTCATCGATCTAGGCCTCCCAGGTAGGGCCGGAGCAGATGGGGTCGGGTGATCGCGCGGCATCGCCGATGCAGCGGCGATGCGGCTCGATGTGGATCCCGATTTTCGCCACGCCGACGTCGCCGATGCATTACCGACGTCTCCGAGGCATCGCCGGTGCATTGGCGATACATCGGCGATGCGGCGCGATCCTCCGACCCCATCTATACTCGGACCCCATCCGGGAGGCCTGCCTCTAGTGATAGCGTTCCGCTGAAGGGTTTCCGTGGAGGCAGAGAATACCACAGGTGAGCCCCACAGGGGGGGCGGGGAGCCCCAGACCGCCCGGGTGCGGCAGCAGTCTCGTTCGAGGCTTCCTCAGGGCGGGGCCGCGCACCGCCGCGTCAGGGAGGGGCACCCAGAGCCAATCGAAGACGTGCGCGCGGACCTGCGAGCGCTTACGGCGGGCTCGCGTCGCATCGACCTGCGACGACCCCGCCGCCGACGTTCAACGCTGAACGCTGCCGGCGGTCCAGAATCGGTCGACGTTGAACGATCCTGACGTGTCGGGAACGGCCGATCGCTCAGGGCTGAACGATCCCCGCGGTGTCGGGAACCAACGCCGGGGTCGACACGACGCGGACCTGCCGCATGCTCATTCCGAGTTGTTTCATGCGCGTCGGGGGGGGGGGCGTCACCCCCGCGGACAGCCCCACATCGACCCCCGTCGCAGGCAGCCACCGCGCGCCGAAGGCGCTCCGACCGCCGTCGCGGCGCGACGACGAGGCGAGGTTGACCCCCGTCGGGGGGGTTACCCCCCGACCCTTATAGGAAACCCAGCGTGCGCAGGTGGTTCTTGACTTCCCCGTGGAGGAGGACGCGGAGATGGAGGGCCGGGAGGCCGTGGAGGACGCCACCGGCCGCCGCTGCAGGCCGGAGGCGGAGGTGCAGCAGCTCTGGGGGCAGATCGAGAGGTGCGCGGCCCCGCTGGCGGCGGCGCTGTGCGAGCAGCTGCGCATCCCGGAGGGGGGCGCAGTGGAGGCCACGGCGACGCGCCCGTGCGTCTTTCGTTGTTCTTGGGGGGGCCTCCTTGGGAGGCTTGCCGTCGCCACGGCTGGATCCGCCACGAAGAACAGATTAGGATTCAGTCGGGCATGTCCCTCAACAGAAGGAATATTCAAAAATAAGTTAAACAAAACATGATCTGGGGACGACTGTTATATCTATGTTTGACAATTCTTGCGTAGTTTTGATTTGATCTCCCAAATCTGCCTGTAGGGTGACATGCCCGACCTAAGATCAGGATGGACCTCGGGAGGGGTCCGGGGACCGATTTTGAGCGAATGTGGGCCGAGCGGGAGTGCCGCCGTTGCCCAACTGGCCTTCATCCGTGCATCATCCTCGAGCCGACGCTGAAGGGCCGGCTGCAGGGCTACTACCGCACCGGCAATGCAAGAAGAAAGAGTCCCAGACATCTGGTTGTTCCAATTTTTTCGATGCGTGGGCCCAGAAGGTCTGGACTTATGATGTTCCAGCCTATTTGAGCCTCAAGCACCACAAAGAATTTCGAGCACCAAGAAAGTACCGAAACTCGAGGGTTTTCACGTGTCGGGCCCTGGGAGACACTCGTTCGACACTGTTTCGATACTCTTTCGACGCTTTTCCGGGTGCTCGAACCTATTTTTGGGATGTGGTCCTTAAGTACGATGGGAGCAACGTAAGTCTGGACCATTTCCGTAGGGCCGGTTTTTCGCCCTGAGTCGTTGTTTGACGGCCCCAGGGCCCGGCGAGGGCCCCCAGAGGCCAGGGGCGGCCCCAGACCGCCAGCTCGAATTGTTGTTGGAGCGTCGGATCTCTGGGGCGACACTCACAGCAGCCATCGGCGTTCCGCGCGGAGTTCTTCGGGGCGGCGTTGGGGCCCCCCTTGGCGGCTCCTCCCGCGCCGTCCCCGGCGCGCTCCAAGCGCCAGGGCGGGGCCCGGCGCCGACCCAATGAGACATCGGCGCGGAGTTCCGAAGGTTTCTGTCCACGCAGTTCGGTGTATCTTCTTCCAGGCAAGCGCATCTGCATGAGGAGGGTCATCCCGTTCATCGCCTCGAACTACAGGCGCGACAAGATCTGGCTGCGCCGCACGAAGCCCTCGAAGCGGGAGTACCAGATCATGGTCGCGATCGACAACTCGAGGACGATGCTCCGAGCCTCCGCCCGAGCCAGCAGCAGCTAGCACCAGTGCAGACCATAGCAGCCAGATGCACAGCGGCACGCTGCGAACTGTGGGGGCAGGGGTGACGTTGACACTGTCGTCGTCAGAGGTTGGCGGGCGAAACCGAAGCGGAGGCCACCCCACTTCTCAGGAGGGAAAAAAACACACTGACACAATTAATCCTCGACTCCCAGGAAAATATGGGAAGACATGGGAAGTGGGGGGGAGGACAAAAACCCAGAAGGTATGGGAAAAGATGGGGAGTTCATTTATTTGTGTGTATTTATTTGTGTGTCCCAGGGCCTCTTTCAACTTCGCGCATTGCGGCCCGCGGTGCGCGGCGCGCGGCCGTCCGCGCGCCGCCGCGCCCACACCCTGGAGAGGGGCAGCTCTCCGTCGGAGCGCGGCGCTCCTCGCGCCCCCCGCGGCGCTCCTCGCGCCCCCCGCCGGCACGAGGCAGGGCGCCCCCATCCGCCACTGGCTGGCCGCCCGTGCCCCCGGACGGCCGGAAGGCGTGAGGCCGAGGGCGAGGGCGGGGGCGGAGGCGAAGGGGCGCAGTGGCGGAGGCGAAGGGGCGCGGGCGCCCGAGCCCGAGGCGAGCGGGGGGAGGCGGAGGCGCCGAGGGCGAGGCGGGGGCGGAGGGCGGAGGGCGGAGGCGGAGGCGAGGGCCCACCGGAGCCTCGCCAGCAGGGCCCGAGCCAGAGCCTCCCCCCCCCCCTCCAGCGGGAGGCTGGCGCGGGCTCCAGAGAAGTTGGCGCGCGCCGCGCCGTGCTCGCGGCGAGGGGCGGGGCGAGGGCGCGTGCCCGGAGGAGCGCCGGGCAGAGCACGCGTTCGCCTCGACGTGGTGCAGCCCAGGTCCCCCGCGGCGGGTGCAGGCCATTTGCGGGCACTCCAGATTTCGTAATAAAAGGGAGGGGGTCTGGACCCTCCAAGACAAGCCACTTCAGACCTCCCCCGTGAGAGAACCCTCCAAAACATCGTCCCCAGACCCCCCAGGCCCTCCAAGATAGCCTGGAAGAGACCCCCCCCGAAATGAGACCCCCTCCCTTGATCACGAAATCTGGAGTAGGCACTTTGCGAGCAGCGGGACGCGCTTGTCCAGTGGAAGGGGGCAACCTCGCCGTCTCCAGCCCGCCTGTCTTTTTTTGCGTTACGAAAGAGCGTGGTGTATGGTTACGCGTTGTCATAAAGGAAGTGGGTTGTAAGTGAAAGTACACATGCTTTCCATCAGTTGATAGAAGCACTTGTTTCCCGAATAGCGTTTCGCTAGAGGGCTCGAACAGTGTTCAAAGGTTCCTCTCAGCAGAATATCCACAGTGGGGGCCAGGGGGAGGCGTCTCACCGGTCCAGCGCGGTGCGAAATCGACGGGTGATGATTTTCTGGATCGATTTCAGCCCTTGCAGATCCAGACACGAGACTCACTCTGGCGTTCTGGTTCGATTTCAGACCTCGCAGATCCAGAAGTGAGACTCACTATGGTGGTCTGGCTCCATCTGGTCCAGAAGTGAGACTCACTCTGGCGTTCCAGTTCGAGTTCAGTTCACAGAGCGCTCTCACCTGAAACTCCACAGGGGGGCCCAGTGTTCTGGCACGAGGGCAGCCTTCGCAGATCCACACATAAGACTTACGATGGTGTTCCGTCGCATGTCCAGAAATTACGGCATGGTCATCGGATTCTCGCCATTCAAGCTGTCCTGTTTTGGCTCCATGTCAGTCCTCGCAGATCCAGAACTGCAACTCGCTATGGTGTTTTGGCTCGATGTCAGTCGTCGCAGGTACAGAAAGTGTCGCAGGGGATCGGATTCTCACCATTCCATCTGTCCTAGGTCTAGAAACTATGGCAGGGCCATGGGCTCCTCACCACTCCAGCTGCCACAGGTCCATAAAGTGTGGCAGGGGCATCGGTTCTCATCGTTCCAGCTGTCGTAGGTCCAGAAAGTGGCAGGGGCATAGGGTTCTCAGCATGCCAGTTGTCCTAGGTCCAGAAACTGTAGCACTGGCATCCGATTCGCACCGTTCCAGCTGTCCTAGGTCCAGCAAAGGCGCATCGGATTCTTATCCTGTCAGCTGTCCTAGATCCAGAATCGGCCCTTCACCATTCCAGCTGTCACAGGTCCATCACGCGATCCGCCCCAGGATCTATGTCATGGCAGGGCGGCACTAGGGAGGGGGAGTAGAAGGCGAGGAGGAGAGGAAGGAGGCGGAGGAGGACGAGGAGGCGGAGGAGGAGGAGTGGAGGTGGAGGACCCCGCAGTTGACCAGTGCTCAGTTTCAAGAACCTTCGTGCTCGCTCTAGGAACCGCGGCCTGGCAGGGAGAAAACAGGAAGTCCTGGGACGGAGCGTGACCGTGGGAGCAGACAGAAATAACAGAGCAACAAACATTACAAAGCAAACGGCAACTGGTGCATTCGCCTACGGGGATCATTGAGTGCGCACTGGCGCGCATCTGCATAGCTAACTTGTGGCGACGGTTGAAGGCACGCGGAGGGGGGACAGGAGGGGGCGGTTGCTTGTCTGTGGCTCGCTTCCTAGCTCGAGAACCTCCACCAGGAATTCCTCCAGGGATATCCGAAAGCCTCAAGAGGAAAACCTCGGAAGCACGAATTCGAATGGTTCGAGTGAAGGCCTCAGAAATCAGCACTGCTTCGACCTCCCCTGCCTGCAACTGTATGATGTTGGCCGTGTGCTCGGCCAAGTGGTCGGCTATCTTGCTGCCACCCATGCGAACAGCAGACTTTTCTCGCAGCCGCCAGCTCTCGTGTCATGTGCGACTCGATATCAAAAATAACAGACGGCTTCTCACGAAGCAACACTTGAATTCTGCGCCATTTATTCCGGTGGCCGTCGGGAAAGAAATCCAGAGCAATGATGGCGGCTGTTTTCTGAACGTAAGACGAGTCCGTGACATAAACAAGTTGATGGCCCATGGGGCCTCGGAGGAGGAGGAGGAGGCGGGGGAGGGTGAATACGAGGGGGAGCCTGTGGGACATCACAGGATTCATTTCATGATCCAGCCTGCCCCTCGTCCTCCTTCTGCTTTTCCTTCCCCTTTCCTCGCGTCGTGAAAAATCTCCCAGTCACGCGCAGAGGGGAGGTAGTGGGAGGGGGGAAGGCTTCTGAGCAGCACCCCTGCTTCCTAGAAGGTGCGAGCCTTCTAAGAAGCAGCTTCCTTCGAAGGAGCCTTCCCCCCTCCACCATACCCCGTTGTGCGCGCCGCCCCTCCACGGTGGCGCCCCGTTTTCATCTGTGGCGGGGCTGCAGGAGCTGGCCGCACATTGGAAATGCCGCTCGCGTATGGTATTGGGTTTCGATGTTGGCGCTTCGGCGCTTCGTGGGCTGCCCGAGCACCGCTTGCTGACGGCGCGCAAGTTCGTCGGCTCTTTCCGGTGATCGCCCCTGCAGCTAAACAACGGATGATTGCCCAGACCTTCGAAGACGCGATAGCTTCGATCGTGATGGATGACGGTCAGGAAGCACCAGCGATAACGATAACAACGACCGTTGCGATCGTGGGGGGAGGGGGCGGGTCGGCCCCGCGGTCCGACCCTGCCCCCCCCCCCCCCTGGGGATGGGGACGGGTGCCCTCACCGTCGCGGGTCCAGGCGTCCACACCCCCCGCCTCGAGGGGGGGAGCAGGCTGCCGGCGCTGCGGGCACGGGCCCGGGGGCCCGACAGTGCCGAGCCTCCCGGCGCGCTCCTTGTCGCGCCCCGCTGGGCGTCGCGCATTGAGAGGGGGGATAACAGCGGGGGGGGCAGCGAGGGCTGCAGAGCAGGGACCCGGGCCCTCCAGGGCCCGACCAGGGGCCTTTGGTGCCCAAGAAGACGTGCACTTGTCAAATCGCCCCAACCCATGCCGAAGGCTTCAACTTGCCCTCCATTTCCAGTGGGGGGGTCCGAGAACATTGACAGAAACAGATATGGAACCCGTACCCCCCCCAACCCGAAATTCGGGTCTTCGGGTTGGGTTGGGGTGGTTTGGTAGGTAGTCATCTTCCCTCCCATTTAACGCCCCCCCATCGAGCGACGCCCCACCCCGTTCGAGCGTTACCTAGTTCTGGGCCTCCCAGATGGGGTCCGAGCAGATGGAGTCTTAGGATCGCGCTGCATCGCCGATGCATCGCCGATGAGGCTCGATGTTGAGCCCGATCTTCTCCACGCCGACGTCGCCGCTGAACCGCCCCCCGTCGCCTATGCATCGCCGATGTATCGGCGGTGCATGCGGCGCGATCCTCCGACCCCATCTACTCGGACCCCACCTGGGATTCCTCTAGTTGCTGAATGCGGGTGGGCATTGGGGGGGAGACAGGTGCACCTTTCGTGCACAGCCGTGGCCCAAGGGCGCTCCTTCAGAGCCCCTCTAGGGCCTCATCCATGGAGCCTTCGACCCCTCATCCCTCTCCATGCATCGGAGGTGGACAGAACCCCCAACAGTGACACGTCGATTAGTGAATTGTCCGTTTTCGGTTCTCGAGACGGCGCCGTGGCCGTTGCTTTCCAGGCTTGCGCCCGCCAAGTTTGGGCCTCAGGTCGTTTTCACCAAACCACGTTTTACGAAAGGGGAGTCTGTCAAACCCCGAATGCATCGTCCCCCCCCCTTACGACACGCCCAGCCCATGCTGCCGGTCAGGAGCATGGGGGGGGGAGGCAGGTGCACCTTTCGTGCACAGCCGTGGCCCAAGGGCGCTCCTTCGAAGCCCCTCTAGGGCCTCATCCCATGCAGCCGTCGACCCCTCCTCCCTCTCCATGCATCGGAGGTGGACAGAACCCCCAACGGTGACACGTCGATTAGTGAATTGTCCGTTTTCGGTTCTCGAGACGGCGCCATGGCCGTTGTTTTCCAGGCTTGCGCCCGCCAGGTTTGGGCCTCAGGTCGTTTTCACCAAACTACGTTTTACGAAAGGGGAGTCTGTCAAACCCCGAATGCATCGTCCCCCCCCCCTTACGACACGCCCAGCCCATGCTGCCGGTCAGGAGCATGGGGGGGGGAGGCAGGTGCACTTTTCGTGCACAGCCGTGGCCCAAGGGCGCTCCTTCAGAGCCCCTCTAGGGCCTCATCCATGGAGCCTTCGACCCCTCATCCCTCTCCATGCATCGGAGGTGGACAGAACCCCCAACAGTGACACGTCGATTAGTGAATTGTCCGTTTCCGGTTCTCGAGACGGCGCCGTGGCCGCTGTTTTCCAGGCTTGCGCCCGCCAGGTTTGGGCCTCAGGTCGTTTTCATTAAACCACGTTTTACGAAAGGGGAGTCTGTCAAACCCCGAGTGCATCGTCCCCCCCCCCTTACGACACGCCCAGCCCATGCTGCCGGTCAGGAGCATGGGGGGGGGAGGCAGGTGCACCTTTCGTGCACAGCCGTGGCCCAAGGGCGCTCCTTCGGGGCCCCTCTAGGGCCTCATCCCATGGAGCCTTCGACCCCTCATCCCTCTCCATGCATCGTCCCCCCCCCCTTACGACACGCCCAGCCCATGCTGCCGGTCAGGAGCATGCAGGAGTGCGGCGTCGGCCCCATGGCCCTGCAGACGCTCTGCATCGTCCCTGCTGGGGGGGAGGGCGCTCCTCCTCCTCCTTCAGGGCCGGGGGGGTTCGAGGATCGAAGATCGAGGAGGAGGAGGAGGAGTACCAAGGAGGAGGAGGAGGAGGAGGAGGAGGAGGAGGAGGAGGAGGAGGAGGACCAAGGAATAGGAGGAGGGAGCAGGAGGAGGATCGAAGGTTAGGATGAGGAGGATGGCCGAGGACCGGTGAGAGGGTGGCGGATGCAGTTTCGAGGGTCGAGGTGTTTGGACGCGGTTGGCCCTTCGAGGCCTCCGGCGGACACCTCCGGGGGCTTCGTGGAGGTCTCCAGAGGGGCGAGGCAGACGGCGGGGACGGGGAGCGGCCGACGGAGGTCCTCGGAGGTTCTCGTGTGTTCTGGTGAGTGGCCTCTCGGGGGCTGGGTTTCTTGATGGAGGACGGAGGGGGGGTTGGTAGCATGGCTCGGGCCGGGCGAAAGGGGGGGATTGGGAAAGGGGGGGTTACGAAAACTGCTGCATGCAGCTGGTTTGGGCCCCACCGAGGGGCCCATTCCTCGATGCATAGCTCCCTCCGGCGCCGGGAGGCGCCGGGAAAATCAGCTACGTGAGCTGATTCTCAAACCCCCCCTTTGCTATCCCCCCCTTTCGCCCGACCCGAATGGCGGTAGCATGGCATGGTAACCTGTGTGTCCTCAAAAGTCCGATCTCGGAGTGCACCAGCGTGCGCCAGCGTCTGGTGATCGATGAGAAGGCGCTGATGTGATGTCGATGAGCGTCGACTTGCGTTGGTGATGAAGCGCAAGAGCCAGCAAGATGGTATGGCAGGCTCCCATGAGTTGTTTCAGAAGGGGGGGCAGGGCAACGGTCGTGGGCGGGGAAGGATGATGGAGGGATTGAGGAAGGGAGTATTTGCCCTCCCCCTCGTTGTCCACTTTTGTGTTTCAGCCTGTGCTGTGCTTGCCCGAGCTGGACGTGCGAGCGAGAGGAAGAGAAGCCGGCAGGATCGCGGGGGAAGCGACGAGGAGTTGCAACTGGGGGCGGGCCGCCAGGTGCGGGGGGAAGGAGCGAGGAGGAGGAGGACAAGCAGCAGGTGCCAAGATGGCACGCGGGGAGGCGGAGGCGGAGGAGGAGGAGGAGGAGGAGGAGGAGGAGGAGGAGAGGAAGTTCACTGCCCACAGAGGGAAAAGGTCAGGGGAAGAGAAGAGAGAGAGAGAACCAGGGGGGGGGGGGGCGGCGCCCACCAAAGGTGAACCGCTTGTCCCAGGCAGGGGACAGACAGCCCTGCCTGGGCCCGCCGACCGCGCCCCCCCCCCCCCCCCTCCTCCTCCTCCTCCCTCCTCCTCCTCCTCCTCCTCCTCCTCCTCCTCCTTCCTCCTCCTCCTCCTCCTCCTCCTCCTCCTCCTCCCCCCCTCCTCCCCCTCCTCCTCCTCCTCCCGACCGAGCTCTTCCTGCCTCGGCGCTGCTGCCCGGAGCCGAGCGCGAGCCGCGCAGGGGCAAAAGCCCGAGCCTCGGGGGGCCGCGGGCTGCTTTCGGAAACAGGGAGCACCCTCGGAGCCGCGGGCCCGACGGGAGCCCCCATAGGGGGCCCTCCCCGAGATGCCGCGGGAAGCGCGCACGAGTGCCCTCCCATGGAGACTCGCGGGTCCCAATCGACACGAGGGGATCTTTCGACGGATGATGTCCATGCCGCCGCCTCTTGCGCACAGTAGATGCCGAGCCACCCCTGATGGGCCTCGAGCCTTTGCGCTGGCCCGTGAGGCCCCGCTCCATCGGGGTGGTGGCATACTGCCAACAAGAGGTGCAGTAAATGATGGGCTCGTCACCGGGCACAGCACTCTGAACGAAACAATGCCTGTTGACCCTCCAGGGCTGCACACCACGGCTGACTATCCACTCGGGCTCTACTGAGGCAGGGCCCATAAGGGGGAGCAGCAGCAGCAGGAGGCTCAAAAGCAGGAGGGACGAGAGGACCGGAAGTGGGATCAGCCTCAGGGATGTCCTCAACAAGAAGCCCTGGTGGTCAAAATCCTAAGTCGACCTTCTTTTAAAAGACCACACCCATATGATCTTGTGTTTGGGAGGCTCCCATCAAGGCCGAAAGACCAGCCGAAAACGTGCAGGCCAGCCGAGCTATCAGCTGGCACCCTTCCACCAGCTGCCACCCTTCCACCTTCCAAAGACCTGCCCAGGGCCGCTCCTTCTTTCGCAAATCGGTCCGCCGCCGAGTTGCCATCGCGGTCGAACTCGGAGATCCGCTCGCGCTCCACGTCTGAGGCCGTCGTGTGGGCTTTGACGTGGTCGAAAGGCCGGGCCGCAGAATCTTCCTTGCTGTGAGCTCTGCGCCGCAAATGGGCGCGCGGGTTGCAAGGGCTGGTGGACGTGGCCACCGAACGGCAGCAGCTGAGAGTGTTCTTGCAGTCTGCACGCACCGCATAACTACCCAACCCATGCTGGGAACACATCAACATAGTTCGTTTCTCGCCGTCTCGAGCCGTGCCCGAGACTCCGAACTCAGGCGGGACCCGCCCGAACAATGCCCCTAGGCACTATCGCTCGGCATCGTAGAGCACCAGTGCCTAGCCGGCAACTCGCAATGATAGGTGGAGCTGATCCAGCCCCGAGCCGTCCGTGAACGCAAAACCTCCTTCCAGGAGGATCGGCAGCTGCACGCCTGCAGTGGTCAAGAGCCCCCAAGCTGGATCGAATGGCTTGCGCCCCACACACTGGCCAGGCTCAGGAGGAGGAGGAGGCGGAGGAGGGAGAAGGGAGGAGGGAGGAGGGAGGAGGAGGAGGGGAGGAGGGGAGGGAGGGAGGAGGGAGGAGGGAGGGAGGAGGGAGGGAGGGAGGGAGGGAGGAGGGAGGGAGGGAGGGAGGAGGAGAGGGAGGAGGAGGGAGGGAGGAGGGAGGAGAGAGAGAAAGAGGAGGAGAAAGGAGGAGAAAGAGGAGGAAGGAGGAGGAGGAGAGGAGGAGGAGGAGAGGAGGAGGAGGAGGAGGAGGGAGGAGGGAGGGGGGGGAGGGGGGAGGGAGGAGGAGGAGGAAGGAGGAGGAGGAGAAGGAGGAGGAGGAGGAGGAAGAGGGAGGAGGAGAAAGGGAGAGGAGAAGAGGAAGAAGAGGAAAAAGAGGAAGAAGATGAAGAATAGGAAGAAGAGGATGAAGAGGAAGAAGAGGAAGAAGAGGAGGAGGAGGGAGGAGGGAGGAGGATGAGGAGGAGGAGGAGGTCTCTTGAAATGAGGCCACGTCCATTCGGAGCAGGTCCACACGGAGTGCTCGGTCTCTTTCCGGGCGGCCTCCGTCTGGACCTAGCTTCTCCTGCTTCTGGCCGACCTGCTCCGCTTCGACTCCGACCTTCCGGCGATCCGCTGTGGCTCGGCGCCTGCGTGTGGCGCTGCTGTGCCTCCCGGCGCGGCCGATCCGATCCGACCCCGATCCCGTGCCGGCGCGGCCCGATGCGACGAAGCTGCCGATACGACCTGGTGTCTCGACTCGATCGGACCACGTGGGGGGTGAAGAGAAGGGCCCCAAAATCGGGGGTGGACAGACCTCCTACCCTGACACGTCGATGAAGGAATTGGCCGTGTTCGGTTCGCGAGGGAGCGTCGCGGCCGTCATTTTTGCGGGTCCAGGTCCGTCGGTTTGGGTCCCAGGCGCTTTTCACTAAGGGGAGGTTTACTAAAGGGAGGTTTGTCCAGCGCCGATGGTGTCTCGAGTCGATCGGGCGGGTGGCAGTGGGGGATGACACAAATGGGGGGTGAAGAGAAGGGCCCCAAGAGGGGCCCTTCGCGGGCCTTCTCCTTCTCACTTCCCCCCCTCGCTCGCCGCCGACCTCTTCCCCTGGCCTGGGCCCTCGACCCGCTCAGAGCCCCGCGCTCCCGCTGCTCCTGCCTCGGCCCGCGCCAGGCCTCAGACACGCTCGCGCTGTGGCCAAACTCGAGCAGGGCGGCTTGCCTGTAGGCCCACCCAGGGATCTTCTACGTGAGAAGCTTCTGTGGCCGTCGGTTTCAATCCCAGGCCGTCGGTTTCAATCCCAGGCCGCTTTCATGCAGGGGAGGTTTACTACAGGGGGGTTTGTCCACCGCCGAGTTTGCGCGTCCCCACGGCAGGGGGAGTGGGCGGGGACTGGCCAGGGGCGGAGGATCATGGGCCCCCGACGCCAGGGATCTTCTGCGTGAGAGCCTCTTTTGTGGCCTGCAGGAGCCGTGCTCTTGGAACAGTTCTGGCCGAGACCGCTTCGTCTCAGCACACCTGGCCTGCTGCCCCTGCCCCGCCGGCAGGTCTGCCAGGCCATGGCCCAGCTGGACGTCGGCGAGTACGCGGTGCTCGCGTTCGGCAGCGCCAAGCCCAAGGTGCTGCTGCCCCTCGGCGCCGGGCAGCAGCACGCGGCCTCCTTCGGCTGGGAGCAGGCGCCGCTCTCGCCGGTGCCCCTCGCGGGCATCGGACGCCGACGTCAAGCCTCGCGGAGACGTAAGACTCGAGTGAGCCGGAACTCGGGTTTGCCGACGTTTTTTGACGAGCGCGTCCTGGATTTTGACGGTCCTGTTTTCGTTGGATGTCTGCAGCGGGAGCCCGCGTCAAATCTCAGAGTCTCGTCATTTTTATGATCGCCCCCGTCAGGCCAACACGAGTCCCCTGTACCCGAGTCTTACGTCTCCCAAAAAGCAGTGGCGAAGCGTCCTGGCTCGCCTGTTGGCCCACCAAAGAATGTTCCAGGAGCTTCTTGTGGCCTGCGCGACATGGTCTCAGAGCAGTTCTGGCCGAGACTGTCTTGGCTGAACACATCGGGCTTAGGTTCTAAGAGCATTGTGTGTTTCTCGGGGTTGTCAGAAGATTGCATGGTAGGCCTACAGGAATGTCGGGACGGTCGGTCCCTGCTCGACGATCGCAAACATGGATCAAGAGGGGGTGGATTAGCGACGAGTCCCGTTTCCATGGGAAATCGCTGGTTTCCGCCACCGAACAAGGCGGCATTGGCCGCATTTTGGGGAAGGCCTTTGGCGACCGCGCGCCAAATCCATGGGTCGCTAATCCATGTTTGCGCGCCCCCGACTCGGGTCGGACACCGATGGGGCGTCAGGCCGCTGCGTCATGGCGCTTCTGGTCCCTCCCTGTCGGAGGATCTCACGACTCGAGCTCGCCGGAACTCGGCTTCCAGGCGCTCTTCGAGGAGCCCGCCCAGGGTTTTTGAGGGTCCAGTCTTCGCGGTATGATTTCAAGCGGGAGGTGGCGTCATTTTCAGGCCGGGTCTCGTCCTGTTCTTGACGGCCCAATCGGGCCAACCCGCGTCCCGAGCCGTTGCGGCCCGGTCTGCTGCCTCTCTCTCTCTCCGAGCCGAGCCGATGTCCCGATGCGATGCGGCCCGCGCTTGTGCTGAAATCGGGCCTGTCCCTCTATAGGGGGAACAGTCAAAAATAGTCAAAAAATAGTCTGGGGACTATTTTTGGAGTATTGTTTGACAATTTTGGTGTATTTTTTGAGTATTTTCATTTTTCGTCGAAAACCCCCCTGTAGGGCGACACGCCCGACTTAAGCCTGTGCCGGAGGCGCGCCCGCTCCTCACGGAGTTCACGTTCGAGGAGGAGTCCGCGGAGAGCCACAACCGCAGTTTCGCGGACATGATGCAGCTGAGCTCGTCCCTCTTCGACGAGCGGAGCTCAGAGGAGGAAAAGGCTGCTGATGCTGCAGTCCCCTCGCCGCCGCGGCTGGGTTCGGCTCGGGATTCTGGGCGGAAGGCACACCGGGGGAGTCGGGTACAGCCAGGACCCCGGGTAAGGGTAGCCAGTCAGTGATTGGGCCCCGAAGCCCCCAAAGTTGGCCAGAATCCCCAAACCAGGCCTGCCTCAGTCAGGCGATCGCAAACATGGATCAAGGGGGCGTGGATTGGCGACGGGTCCCGTTTCCATCGGAAATCGCGGATTTCCGCCGCCGAACGGGGCGGCACTGGCCGCATGTTGGGGAGCGCGCTTCCCCCGATCCATGGATTTGGCGACCGCGCGCCAAATCCCAGCTTCCGATCCCGCTCCCATCTTCTCCCTCCCCCCCCCCCCTAAAAAAAAAACAACAAACAAAAAAAAAACATCACTAAACACCAAACCAGGTCCCACTCAACAAGGTCCCGCCCACGCCCGAGAGTGGTCCGGGGAGTGGCGGTATATCCCCCCAGGAACGGCGCGGGCCCGGTGCGGCCGTTCTCTCAGGTCATGCTGCTGATATCCGACGGCCGCTTCAACAAGGCGAAGGTGCGCCCGTGGGTACACGCGGCGCTCGCCAGGCAGCAGCTGCCACTGCTGGTGGTGGTGGACAGCGCGGGCGCGGGGGCGCCAGAGGCTGCTGCGGGCGGAGGCGGCGCCTCGCAGGCGGTCATTCTCCCCAAACCCCCCAGTTTTTCTGCGAAAAATGAAGCCGCTGGGGAAAGGAGGGGAACCCTGGGATATTCCCCGAAGGGGCCATGCGGACGCACCCCTATCGAGGATGGACGCCCCCCCCCCCCCGTGCATCCCAGGGTTGGGCACCAAATTTCTGGTCCACTCGAAAGCATCAGCCGGGGATGGGGGTCGACATGTCCTCTGCCGGGTCTTCCGGCGTCGCGCAGGCAAAAGGCTCGCGGGGCAGCTTGTTCGACCTCAAGGCGGTGAGCTACGAGGACGGGCAGTGCAAGGTGCTCCCCTACCTCGCGGACCTTGGGTGGGTGCGCTTCTTCGTTTGAGCAAGGGGTATTGAATACAGTGGACGCCCATGCCAAGAAACACCCTGCTTGCCTCCAGGGAGGTCGCCATTGCCCTCGCGCGTGGGCCCACCCCTTTTGAGAGGAGGGCCGCTGGAGACACTGGTAGTTTTGTGATGTTCCATCCGACTTGAGCTTTGATCACCAAGACAGTATCGAAACCCGACGGTTTTCATGTGTCGGGCCCTGGGAGGCGATACTCGTTCGGCACTTCGCCAGCGTGTCGGGCAGGTATACTCCTCGGGGTGCTCGAAATTAATTGTGGGATTCGGTCCTCAGGTACGATGGGAACAACAGAATGGTAGTTGGCCTTCGGGGGGGCCCTCGTCGCCACGGCTGGACGCAGCGCGGACAAACTGTGCACCTGGACTCCGGGAGGGATCCGGGGACCGGTTTTACATTCCCAGTGTTGAGTCGGGCCTGTCCGTCTACAGGAGGAATATTCAAAAATAGTCCATAGTCTGGGGACGATGGTTCTAGTATGGTTTGACTACTTGTGAGTATGTGTTTAATACTTTTAGTAGTTCGTCCGACACATCCCCCTGTAGGGGGACACGCCCGACCTGATCCCGGTGTCTCCAGCCGCCCTGCTCCGACCTCCTCTCTCCGTCGCTCCAGGTGTGTGCAGGCACCGAGCATGGCCCGGCTCCCGTGCCCCAGGGGGTAAGATCGGGGGCGGCAGTCTCAGAGGGCGTGCATCGAACCAAGGATTGCAAAAAAAACAGGATTGCAAAAAAAACCCAAGGGTTTTTTTGCAATCCTTCGTTCAAGGGTTTTTTTGCAATCCTCTTTGCAATCGGTCGCCCAGTGCTCGCCGACGGACACCCCGCCCAGGAACGTCCGGACTCGCCGCCAGGGGCCTACCTCCGATCCCTCGGCCACGCATCGCCGCTTCCAGCTCGACGTCTCCTGCGTGGGCCGGTCCCTTCCCCTCTGTTTCGGGGGTGGACAGAACCCCCAACAGTGACACGTCGATTAGTGAATTGTCCGTTTTCGGTTCTCGAGAGGGCGCCGTGGCTGTTATTTTCCAGGCTTGCGCCCGCCAGGTTTGGGCCTCAGGTCGTTTTCGCTAAACCACGTTTTACTAAAGGGGGGTCTGTCCCTTCCCCTCTGTTTCCCCTCCTCCCCGCCCTGGGCGCGGGATCGGTGCAAGTAGCTTGCCTTGGCCCCGCCTGGGGTGACTTACGGCCATCACGTCGGGACAGGGACTGCGTTCGGCTCGGAAGGGTCTCAGGGGTCCGTCGGTGCTTCCTTCGGTTCCTCTGAGGTCCCCATCCGACCTACTGTGAATCACGGCTCTGTTCCTCACAGTTCCTTGTGGCGAGTTTCCGACTGCATGCAGCAATCTTGCAAGCGGGTCCTAGACGGGCGCGGCCGTGCTCGGTTTTTGCGTCTGCCGGAGAACAACTACATGGACGTAATCGTTCGGAGGTCCGCATGGACTTCGTCAATCGGCGCGTATCCCCTGGCGAGCGGAGAGTGCCAGGAGCGCCTCTGGAGGCGCCGCCAGCGGATCCAGCGGCGACCCAAGAAATCAGAGCGGACCTCCGAAAGCGCATGTCTGTGCAATACTTGGCGGCCTCAAAGGACTTCCCCTTCCCGTACTACGTCGTGGTCCAGGACACCAGGGGGCGGAACATTGCGGCACAACCAGGGGCTCCACAGGCTTTCAACCCAGGGCCCGCATCTTGGTGGATGCTGGCTGGCGGCCAGGCCAGGGGGCCATGTCCACCAAGGTCTGGCCTCAAAACGGACTTGTGGAAGCTCCTCTGTTGTACTCGGCGACGGCGACAATGTGATGCCGATGGTGATAGTGGTGCTGGTCCTAATGTGGCACGCCCCTCACACTTTGTCCTCCATATATGGCGAGCCCCCCGTTTCGTATCCGGTGGGGTCGGCCGCATGCGATACCTCGCTGTCGTCTTGGCGCGACCACCCCTCCAAAAGGCACGGTCGCATGCGGTCCCTGCTGGCTCGACCATGTCCTCAGTATCCGCCCAAGACCGTTCATGGAGGCCTTTTGACGCTAGCTGGGACAACCGGCACGTGCGCAAACCCAGGGCCGTTCCAAGTGCGGTGCTGGTCAGTCTCCCTCCCCGTGCGTCTGCGGAGGTCTCTGCAGGGAGGTCTTCGGAAGTCCCCGCAGCCTCTGGAGGTCCGGTCAGGGGCAGCGAGAGGGGGGAATGATAGGCTCGATCCGTTGGCGAGGAGGAGGAGGAAGAGGAGGAGGGCCCACTTCGGTCCGATCGATCCGATTCGGTATCGGCTGCGGCCGCCCAGGTCTGATTTTCGATTCCGATGCTGCGACGGTCCTATTGCGAGCCAGGTGCTCGCACGGCGCTGTTGCGCAGCCTGGCGCGGCCGACCCAGTTTGATTTCGGTTCCCTCCTCCTCCTCCTCCTCCTCCTCCTCCTCCTCCTCCTCCTCCTCCTCCTCCTCCTCCTCCTCCCTCCTCCTCCTCCTCCTCCTCCTCCTCCCTTTCCTCCTCCTCCCTTCCTCCTCCTCCCTTTCCTCCTCCTCCTCCTCTTCTCCTCCTCCTCCTCCTCCTCCTCCTCCTCCTCCTCATCATCATCATCATCATCCTCCTCCCCCTCCCCTGACGTGGCGCGCCGGACGCGGTTCTGGCAACTTCTGAACCGCACTCTCTGCCCACGCGTCCTTCATGGATGCGCGGTTTTCGCATCGCATCGCATCGCCGACGCAGCTCCTCGATCCGACGAAGATTCGATCTGACTTACCGATTCGATGCTGACTGATCCTGGGCAGGCGTCGACCCTCCTCCTTTTCCTCCTCCTCCTCCTCCTCCTCCTCCACCTCCTCCTCCTCCTCCCTCCACTCCTCCTCCTCCTCCTCCTCTCCGTTCCTCCCTCCTCTCCTCCTCCTCCTCCTCCTCCTCCTCCTCCTCCTCCTCCTCCTCCTCCTCCTCCTCCTCCTCTTCCTTCTACAATTACACCATATGAATACTACTCTCCTCCATCCCCTGATGGCGTGCGGAAGATAGCGGGCACCCCTCCGCGTACTGTGTTGTACACACAGGATTTCCCGGAGTTGGGTTTTCGCTTGGGTTGTTTTTCAAAATGATGCTCTCGCTGAGGCGCGGGCTTCATTTTCGGGCTTCCGCTCGTTCCGAATCATGTTGCCGCTGCAGCGCTGGCCTCATTTCCGTGCTTCCGCTCGTTCCGAAACGTGCTCCCGCTGCTGCGCTGGCTTCATTTCCGCGCTTCCGCTCGTTCCGAATCGTATTCCCGCTGCAGCGCTGGCGTCATTCACCGTGCCATGCCACGGCATGCAATGCAATGCTAGGTTGCGTTCCGCTGCGCGATGCCATGCCTTCAGCTGCAGTTGTCATATCCAGTGCGAAGTGCCACGTCATGCTATGCAATGTTATGTTCGGGGCCGCTGTGCGATGCCATGCTTTGCGTTGCAAAGCTTTGTGATGCAATTCGTCACTACGCCACGCCACGCCATGCTGTGACATACTACGCTTTGCGGTGCTCTTCTACGCCATGCCATGCCGTGCTCTACAATGGTATATGCGAATCGCTTTCTCGGGGTAATCATTAGCGCGACAGTGCTCTCTCTCACCTCTATCACCTCTGATATCGAGTAATAGAGGGGACCACACGCAATGTAAGGGAAGGGAGGAAGTGTAGGATGTCAGATAAGACGCGAGCGCACCAAGCTTGACTCCACCTCCTCCTCCTCCTCCTCCACCTCCTCCTCGCTCCTCCTCCTCCTCCTCCTCCTACCTCCTCCTCCTCATCCTCCTCCTCTTCCTCTTCCCATTCCCAGCCGACGTCCGCCCTGAGCCTGTCCCCCCCCCCCCCAGTTCGTTCCCCCCTCGGAGGAGGCCTCGGGAGGCCTCCGGACGGAGCGCCCAAAGACCCCCAGGACATCCAGGCGCTGCCTGCCATCCTGAGCGACGTGCTCAAACAGTGGTTCGAGCTGGCCGCGGGCGCGGCCTGACCTCCCCAGCCATGCCCGCCGGCTCATGCCCGCAGAGGGCAGCTCGGGGACCTTGAGACCGGGGTCAATCCAAACGGGGGGTCAGCCAGAGCGCCGGATCTTGCAGGATCCTGCAGAGCCAAGGGGTGCACTGACCCAGGCTTGCGTGCAGGATCCTGCAGGATCTTGCAGCATGTTGCAGGATCTTGCAAAGCCCGACTGACCCGGGTCTGGACTGACCCGGGTGACAACGAAAACAAAACGCAAACGAAAAGCACGGTTTGGTTCGGCCGTCATCGAACGACCGCGCTATCGGGACGCCGCGATCGCTCAAGCCTGAACGGTCCACGCGGTGTCAGGGAGCAGCGCAGAACAGTCGTCACGACACGAGCCCGCCGTGGTCAGGGCCATGCTTGCAGGCTGGGATGGTGTGCAGACCCTCCTGACCTCGGCCAAGGGTGATGGGCTAGTTTTCCACCACCACCACCACCATAAGTTGGAGGGGGGGAACGAGGTGTAGGATTAGGAGGAGGAGGAGGAG